GCGTCAATATTATTACCAATCGATGAAGTATTCGAAGTTAATCCATATAATTCTTCTTGGAACATGAACAAAGTGGAATTAACTGGTGGAGATGGTAAAGTATCTACCACTTGATTGTTTAATAAGTTGATATCACTAACTTCAGATTGAGATTGAGATTGAAATCCACTTATGGAAAAGTTCAAACTAACCAAGTCATTGTTCTTAAGATGTAAATAGATTTTTCCTTCTGTGAAGGAATATAAAGTATTCCAATTAGGATTACTATTATCCCCAACCACACAGTTTATGAATAGGAATAGGTATATTAGTATAATGCCTTTCAACCCCATTTTTGTCTTGATTCTGTGGTAAAGAAACTTATCTAAAAGTGTGTGTGTCAAATAAAACCCTAAATTCAAGGAAAGAAAAATTGATAAATCTGTTGGCAGTACTAGTGTCCTTAATGCTGATATAAGATGACACTCCATATAGTTTTCTTCCTTAGTTATTGACGTCTTTCTTGATACATGGAAACCTGTTTACAAATATTCCCAATTAGGCAATCCTGGCTCTATTAAATGCATTTACCACAAAACTAAATAATAATGTTCTGGACTGACTAAAAGTACTTATCATACTATGTTACATCAATCATTGATCAGAAGTAGTTTATTGCAAATCTTTCCCAATAATAAATTGAGGTCATAGTTGATAATTTGCACTTCTGATAGTTAATGGCTGTGAAAATTCTAAACAGTTCACTCATTTTGTGTTGTTAAAAAAAATTGAGTTCAAAAATGATCAAAATGGAAAAATGAATTTGAAGACAGACAGAGAGGGAACAGCAGAATAGTGTAACTAGTGATATCCAACCATGGTGACCTATTTACATGACAACTTGCCTGAATCAGTATCAGCATCATTATCTACACCAGCACCAAACTCAATTATACTAAGATGTCCATTCCAAAAGTGTAATACTCGATTATTAAAATTATCTAGTTCATATCCTCAAGTATCATTAAACTCAGATTCATCAACATCCAATATAAAAATGATCAATTTGAAACTGCTAGATGAAGATCCAAACGATACATCACAAACTTCAAGTTTCTATCAAGTCAATGATGTATGGGATTTTGATAATATAGGGGTTTCAAGACCATCTCAAGAATTACAACAAGAATTATTACATGTTAACCATAGTAAAGATGATCAATTTAAAATTGAACGTATTTTGATTTGCAGTGAATGTGATAAAGGTCCACTTGGATTAGCTGGGTTCAATGAAAATGATTCTAATAAGGATGTGAAGAATCTAACCTACTTTTTAAGTTGTAAGAGTGTTCTACATGATGTTAAGGAGATATGATAAAAAGGATCATTTTTTTTAGTTGTCATTAAGATAAAAAAATAGGTAGACCTATATATGACGAAACAATATAAATCAAATAAAAGAAATAGGGACACCTAATAAATCATAAACTGAAAATAAATAAATAAATAACATTAAAATAATAATAAGCAAATGAGAAAGAATCTAAAGTTTTGCTTGTGGTTTTAAATCTTTAGCAATTCCTAATGCAATATATCTTGACATAGTCATAGTGGTAATCATTGGATTAGCTCCACTAGCAGTTGGCATAACACTGGCATCAGCAACATAAACATTTTTACATTCATATAATCTACCTTTTAAATCAAGAGCTCCATTGCTTGGACCCTTTCCTGAGATACGACATGAACTCATTTGATGAGCAGATCCATATGGAACTCCATAATAATCAAATGGAATCTTTTCAACTGCTTTTCTCCATTCAACATATTCTTTATCAGTTATTGCTCTTTCATGTTTTGGTTTAACCGATTTAAATCTTGGAATCCAAGCTTGAGGCATAATGATTTCTTTAGCACCTTCAATATATAATAAATCACTACCAATCAAAAATGATTTATGAAGAGCATCACGATCAAATTTATTAACTTCATAATCAACTTCAATAGCTTCTGGTCTTCTTGGATCATAAGAAATTGTTCCACTACTTTTATCTCTAGTAATTAACAATAAGATAATTCTATGATTATAATTTAAAAGCTCTTGCCTTACTTGATCACTGGATTCCCAACGAGTGAAAACAGATTGAATGAATGGAGTGTTAAGTAAGGTTTCAATTTTTGCTCCATGAGCTTTACCATCAATATCATCAACTTCAGTACAAACACTAGTCATAATTGGATGAGCAAATGAATTGGTCTTTACATCCTTACCAAAATCACCAACTAATCCACTAACAGGATGTAATTTTAAATTTCTACCAATATGTTTATTTTTGAATCCAGATTGTTTTAAAATGACTGGAGTATTCAATGATCCTCCACTAACAACAAATTTCTTAGGTCCTGTAATCTTAAATTTAACTCCTGTAGTAGTATCTTCACATAATACACCAACAGCTTTACCACCAACATGAATAATTTGTAAGACTCTAACTTGATCCATAAATTTAGAACCAGTGTTTGCTGATTCTTTAAACCAACAATTCACAGAACCTTGTTTGACTCCAAATTTACAACCAGTATGACAAAATCCACAATTATGACCTTCATGATTACCAATATTTTGTTCTATTGGTCTACCAGCATAACCTAATTTTTCACTACCTTCAATAATAGTTCTATTACTTATAGCATGATCAATATCCTTATGATTGGCGCCCATTTTATTCCACACATAATCTTGACATTTATCATAACTATCAGTTGCAGCCCATTCTAATCCATAATCATCATACCATTCTTTTCTAACTTTAAAAGGGGTTCTTAAACAAGCAGACCAATTAACAGTAGAACCTCCTCCAAATGTGGAACCAGCTAAAATAAAAGCTTGTTGATTTTTGGTGGCCATTATTCCACCATTTTGAAATAAATTTTCATAACCTTCTAAATCACTAAAATTTAATTCATCATTAGAATAGTATTTTCCCTTTTCTAAAATCAATGATTTAAAACCTTCTTCACATAATGTTTGAGCAACAACACCTGCACCTGAACCAGATCCAATAATAATAACATCAATATCAGGTATATGTAATTCAAATCCTTCTATAGATGGTTTTTCAAGCATTGGATATTTAAATGTATCCACTACATGTGATTCGTATAATTTATCCTTTGGCTCATATTTTGGATAATCGGTAAATTCATTATGTAAATCAGAAGCCAATTTAATGAAGGTTGCAATAGTGAGTGAATAAAAGACTCTAAACAATCTTCTTTTTTGAGCTATTGGTGAATCTCTCCATGAAGCTAATAAAGCACCTCTTTGCTCTAAAGTCATATCTCGAATTAATGTCAATGAATTAGTTAATACGGGAGCTAAAATTCTCGAATCTAATACAGTTGCTAATAAAATAAATTGTTGAGTTGCATCTATAGTATTTGTATTAATTGATCTTTTTGCTATTTCAAAAAATTTTGGTATATTAGATGGCCTCGAGTAAGTTGCTATATATTCTTTAATTTTAGCATCCGAAACTGAAGAAGGTAAAGAAGCCCTAATGACATCAGGAGTGGTTTCATGAATTATACCATCAGCTAAAGTAACCAAGAGTTCGACATGACGATCTTCAGCTTCAACTGGAATGATTGGAATAGCCATGATGATGATTCAGTTAATTATTTTAAGTGTGTGGGGTATATCTTCGTATTCCTCGAAATTAAGATTCTTGAAAGACGTGAAATTTGGAAACTGAAGTCGGTGGTGAAGGTATCTTGATCCCAATCCTCGAAGAATTAGACTATTATATATATTGAATATAAGTATAGACTGACTGTGAAACCAAACGAATGAATGTTATTAAAAATATCGGTTCATTTTATGAAAATAACAGCCTATATATAAAATTAACTTTGGATTAACAATTTTCATGTGTTGCACTTTAAATCAAACTCCAGTAAAGTTTTGGGTATGGGGTAAGGGCTTATTAGGTTTTGTGAAGCAAGCTGCCCCCCTCCCCCATTATCACAAGCTTAGTACCGACCGACATCCATAGTGAAGAAAAATTGTTTGAAATTCGCCTGTGATTTTTTTGGCGCACTATAGTTTAATTTTTGGTATGGGATAGCGGACTTTATGATAGGTAACTAACTGTTAACATATTCACATGAAGTACTGAAATCAATAAGACAACTTGCTAGATTTTGAGTTCTGATTGTTAGATTTTAAATCAATAATTATATAACGGCAATAACGCAGCAAATGCTGAACTCCGACGGATACATACGATCATTTTAGTTTAGGCAAATCATCAAAAAAGTCATCCGGTAATTCTAATAAGGCAAATAAATCATCTTTATTTATATAGTAATTACGCTTGGTGAAATGATAGATTATGAGCTCAATACTATTAGTAAAGAAATTAACTGAATCTTGTAATTTAACCGTCTTTTCCTGTATCAAGGATTTCTTGTATTCAATTTCTAATTGATTTGCTTTATCAATTAAAGTTCGTTCAACTGTATTTAATTGGTCCAATTCTTGTTGAATCTCTATAGTCAGAGTTGATCTTTGTTGATTTGCTATTGCTAAATCATATAGATCTTCTGTGGCTTGATTCAATTGATTTCTCTTTGATGTTAACTCATTAGTCAATTTTTTGAATTTATCAATATCTGTCTTCATCCGATCGAACTTAAAGGACCAATATAAATTAATCAATCCACATTTTTCAACATTCAATCTATTATCATCTATCAATTCTTGTATGATCGGTTTAACTTGCATTGAGTTTATTGATCGTATTGATTTTGGTATTACTTTCTCTAACTCCTTTAATGAATAAAATGTATGTTGAGATTGAAGAAATTCAACACATTTCTCTTTCTTCTCTTCCAACGAAAGAGCAACTTGTTTCTTTGGAGGCTACATATTATTATAGAGTTAGATCATCAGCTTTTTGATGGATTGATAATAGTAGACATACCATGTTTAATGTTGATGTTATCTATGTGTAAAGGAAAATGTGCTGCAAATCCCTCTCTCTCATCAAAGAAAAAATGACGGTCAAACACTTCAAACACTACAAGATTCAACACTGGTTGGTTGGGTTAATTACTTAATTATATACAATCAATATATATAAAGAGTCAGTTTGATTAAACAAAAGTACTATAAAAGAAAGAATATCATTATATAATAAAAAACATTATTGAAACAATAGGAGAATAAATTTAACCCCAAGTTGGTTTTTGAAATGTACATACATCATCAATCATTGAATACTTGGAACATCAGCAGTCTTGTCTTTAGCCGGGTGCTCATCATTTCCACCAACATCGGATTCTTCACTAATGGTATACTTTTCATTGGTGAAGCTAGATAAACCATTCTCCCCAATAGCTTTAGTGGCAGCAGCTAATTTAGATTCATATTCAATTCTATATTGTTCCAAAGCATATGCTCTTGATCTCCAAGCTGGTACTTTAAAGAATAAATGATCAATAGCTTCTAATGGAACTCCCTTTGTTTCAGGATACAAGAAATAAACAATAATTGGGAAAACAACCATGCAAGTGGCAAAAATAAAGTAAAATTTATATCCAATAGCATCTAAAGCTTGACCAGACCATCTACCCATAACAAATGCCCAGAACCAATTGGCACAAGCATTTATGGCTTGAGTTAATGTTCTAATTTCTTGACTGAAAATTTCTGAATTTATAACCCATGGTGTACCATTCCAACTTACACCATAAAATATAGTCCAAATATAAAGCATGGCTTGGGCAGCTTTACCACCACCATTTTGTTTAGTTTGACCAGCAGCAACCTTTGCAGCTGGATCATCAATTTTAATATAGGCACCAATATACCACATACATAAAGAACAAGGTAATGAACACCAAACCAAAGCTGTCTTTCTACCGAAATTTTCAACAATGTAAAACAACCAAACTAATGAAGCAAACGCTTTTAATATACCAAAAATACCAGTAGATTGCAAACCAGCATTTGTACCATTAAGACCAAATGATTTAAAAACGGTAGGCGAATAATAAGTAATAGCATTAATACCACTACCATTTTGCATAACAAAAAGACTTGTCGATAATAACAATCTTAAAACAATTTTTTTTTGAAAGAATACTTTTTTAAATGGTTCAAAGAATGAATCAGAACCTAATTTTAATTTATGAATTTCAATGTCTTTAATAGTGTTATTTAATTCATGATTCAAGTAAGGGTGATCTTCTGGAAGATTTCTTAAGAATGATAAATTCTTTTTAGCCTTTTCATATTTATTTTTAAAGACCAAATAACGAGGAGATTCTGGAATAAAGAATGTTCCAAAAAAGAAAAAACCTGATGGGATTAATTGAATTGCAAATGGAATTAACCATTGTTTTGATTCAGTAGATGGAATATGTTGTAAAACACCATAGTTAATCCAATAACCAACCACACCACCAACTTGCCAACTGATTTCCCAAAGTCCAACTAATTTACCTCTAATTAAGGTTGGAGAACTTTCACTAATATAGATTGGAGCTAAACCAGAACAACCACCCACACCAATACCAGTCAAAACTCTACCAGCATAGATGGGACCTAAACCATGAGCAGAAGATGCATGTAATGAAATACCAGCACCAAGAACCAAGAAGAAACCAGAAATAACTAAACCGATTTTTCTACCAATTAATTCACCAACTGGATAAAAAAAGATTGCACCCCAGAATGCACCAGCTTGAAAAACTGATACAACATTTGAAGAGATATTTGCAGCTTGTTTGGCAGTCAATTTATCAATACCAAATTCAATTTGAAATGAATCCAAGGCCACTGTACCACCAATGAAACCAGCATCATAACCAATAATAACAGCGGCAAAGGCAGCAGTTAAGGCACACAAGACCATTTTCCAATTATAAATTTCCTGAGGAATTAATAATTGTTCTTCTTGACTATCATTATCATTTTCACCATCAACTTTAGTAATAGTATAAAATTGTTGTTGTTTTTCAAACTGATTTGAATTTGACAGTTTTAATTTCGAAAAGAATGATGACATATTAGACCTGTAAGAAAGTTACTAAAAATAGGATTAATATAGATATACTAAAGTATATAATCAAACTGAATTATAAATGATAAAGGAAATATAATCTTTTTTTAAAAAAACACCAAGACTGGGGAAAGAACTTATTATTTATATTATTTATAATTAATAGATATAGGTGTAAAGATCAAATACCGTTGGATAAAAGATAATTGATGCCAAAATCGAGACAAGGAAAAACTAAACAAACCGGGAAACCAAATACAAAATAAAACCAAAATATAATTTTTAAGATAACTTTAGTGTGATTATTACAAACTTGAACTTTGATGTGGAAAGGGAGGGAGTTGGATAAATATTCTTGTCTAAGTATAAGTGATAGAGGGGTAAGAACTGGGGGTAATTCTTACTGATTAATTTTGACAACTAAAATGAATAACACAATAAATATGGGTCGTAACAACAGAAATAGTCTCCAACAGATTGATATTCCAATGTTAATTAGACTTGACACTAAAATAAGGAATGAAGAGGTTATAGGCTAAGATTATATACTTTTCCAACCAGAAATGAAACTAAAGAAAAGGAAACATATATTATAAAGTTTCAAAACGATTTTTTTGATTTAAAAATCCATTAATGGTGTTTAAAATTTTTACTTTGAATTCGGACAATTATTTAGCAGTATGACTGATAAAACTTTAAGCAAAATTACATGCTTAGAAAATTATGCGAATGATGTAATTAAGACACCAGGAATGATTAAGGAAAGAAAGAAAAAAAAAGTGGGGGAAAAGGCGATACCTTTTAGTTACGAACGAATCACAAACCTCAAACACTATCACTCCGCTTTACGAAATTTTTTTTTGAATGATTAGGATATATCCATTTCATGAGGGTATAGATCTACATTCTATTGAACAATTGTGTATGGGTTATGTGTTCTTTACTTTTCCCACTTTATAGATATCCAAAGGCGATGAGCGGCTAAATACAAAAATATTCCGAGCTATGCTTTCTAACAACAAGGAATTAATCAGCTCATAGACTCACTTTAACCTTCTTCTAGAGTTGATTTGATCTCATCAATCAGAAAATTGAAGGGAAATATCTTAAAAAGATGGTTCGACAAAGATTATCTTTTTAAAAGCCAATATTGATTACGCGTGTGTGGGTATTACCTGTAACCAAGTGGTGGAGATAGAGCTTAATAAGGTAAAATTCGTGATTAGTAAAAAGTGTAATTGTGTGAACATTTCATCTGGGGGGTATTTCTTTTTTTATCTGCATCAGTTTTATATTTGTTTTAACTTTCCTTATCTCTCTTTAGCATCATTGATATTCTCTATCTCTTACCTGTTGTTAACCATGCCTTCTCCTTCTCTTTCTATTCAAGGATTATATTATTAATGATCCTTTCTCTAATATTTATCCTTTCATCCTGACTAATCTCCTTGTTCAACAACTGAAACTTGCATATACAACTAAACATTCATTCAAAGTTGGTCCTTGTTCCTACTTCATCAGACTTCGGGTATCACTTATAGCTTCCCATTTATGATTTTCTTATCATTCGGTTTTTATATTTGTGTTACAAATCAATGCCGCACCCCTCACTAAAAGAAAAGGTACAGATTGTATATCAATTTTCTTAAGTGAAGTGACGATTCAACAATTCAATCATAGAGAGGCCAATTGACTTCACTCTGTTTAAGCTTTTAAGGTTAAGGAGCAAATCACAAGATGTAAAAGACTTTTTTTAATTGAAATATCATTCAATGATTCGCTTATCAAAATCAAAGATTTGCAAAAGCGGAATTGGTACTGTAGCAAAAAAAATACTCAACGTTAGGCATAATCATGCAGTTCGTAAGTTACATTGAACTCTAATTAGTTATATAGTACAACAATCTCATATTATGATTATTTGATCAATTAGACTTCGTATAACTTCAATTAAACTTCGTATCATTTCAATTATATAAATGATGTTACAATGTTGCTGCCAATAAATACGAACTTCTTTGAACTCTCTATATGTCGGATAATTAACCCAATTAGGATCCTGTGCGATAACTAAAAGTTTTGCACTCCACAAACAGCATTATCTAACTCTATGATACATTCATATTTAGGTACATTTATACAGCGACAAACTCCTCCTATATGAATAATTATCAATGCGATGAAGTACTCAAGAACATGAAAATGATAAATAGAAATCAAATATTAGACAGCGCCACAATTGGCTTTAACGAGATCACGAAGATATGAGAAAGAGTTAATCTTAAAATTGCTAGAAGCGGTCAATATCACTGTCTCTTATGTAAATTCACTGAACAGGAATATATCCCTTTGAGTGAAGGTTGAAGAATATTTACGAAACAAAACTGACGAAATAGGTGATATTTTGCATAATGATTTTCTAACTTCTATAAATGTAACTCGAATCGATATTCCTGTCAGAATAGCTGGGTTGAGTATGATAGGCCAACCACATCGTTAAAGCAAATATACATGTATTTCACATGAAGAATTAATTGCTTATTTCGTATGTCACTGAATAGAAATGGATTATTTGTGTTTCTTGAATGTAATTTTCAGACTTAAATTTCAGGTGAAAAATATGTTATTGTAAGTGATGAAAAATCTTCAAAAACTGAATTTCCAGAAGCTTAAATTCTAGATGACAACGAAGATGCTTTATATACTGTTCAATCTTTCTTATTAAATCCAAATATAGTATAAAAACACTTTATTATCAATGTGCAAATGCTCATATATAATAAAACAATTTATCATACGATTTTCATAAATAATATGAGAAGCGAATTCATACTTTGTTCATTTGCATGAAAATGTATGGTGGTCTGAGAAACTGTACTTACTAGGCTAACGAAAATCTGCAATTTTTAGTACTGTGGTTTTTATTTTGATACATACAACCACATAAATAATTTCATTCATTCAATAAAATAACACAATATGCTAATAATAAAGGGGAATCAGTTTTGATCTGACCTAATTATTAGTTTGATACGACGGTTATATTTACACACCAATACAAAAATAAAACCACACTAACCACTTCGATGTTCTATTATTACTATTATTATTATCTTCATCCCATTGAAGAGCCCTGAGTATTTGTTTTTTATATCGGTTTGAATTTTTATTTATTTCTAGTACGGCCGGTGTTATTCAGGAACCCCAAATGAATTAATCTCATAACCTAGCAACGAAGCAAGCTAATTATTACATCATGTCTAATATTTAAGCTTTTAGGGTTTGTTAAAACTGAGGTTTTCTTATACAGTGTGAAACGGGTGCAATAGAAGAAAAGTCAGACTGGAAGAATGTAAATTTTTAGATCAAATTTTCTAATGTGCGTCGGAAATGTGCCATGGCGTCTAAGCAGCAACTAAAAAAAAAAAAAGAATTTAAAAAGACTAAAATGGAAAATGACATATCAGTTACAAATAAACGATTAATGACAGGAATTAAGGTAAGCTTTTTACTAAATTTAGGTGAAGCTTAACCAAAATAATGGAAGTCAATAAAATAGTTTAATTGATATAGAACTAACCATTCTAGTTTGACACGAGGGATAATACGGTAGGAAGAGGTAAGCGTAATTGGTTCAACGTAATTGAGATGATATAGTTCAATAGAAGTAAAACGGCAACCGATGAGCGATGATTTGATTGAACCTGGCGGAGATTAATGTTGAAAAGAATACATATGCTGTACCTACGTAAATAGATAGGGGATCTTTTACCTAAGAATGATTTTATTTTAGTGTAAATTTCTTTTAGCATTTTTGATGTTTGTTTGTTTGTTTGTTTGTTGATAATTATTATATTACTAAGAAAAAGCTTATTTCAAAATATGATGAAAAATAAAGCGTAATTGGAATATAGTAAGTAGAGAGTTTTAAAAATAATTTTCCAAATAAAGAAATAAAACTAATTAATGGTGAAAAGGAATTGGTGACAGAATAACAATATCAAACTGGTGAATGAAGGAGGGGAGGAGACCATAAAAGAAGACAATGAATAAACAAATAAATAAGTGTGATAGCTTTTTTTTGAATAATTTACAAAAATAAAATTTTTTTGGTCTAGAGGAATGGAAATAGGGATTTTGATTGTTTAGAATCAACAAACATGGAGGTGGGTGAACAATTGTTAGACGCTCAGAAGATTTGACGACGATTAAAGACACGGCATTAAGTGTTTGTGAGAGTGTGTGAGAAGTATTTATTAAACCATTGACGATAGAGGTCGATGAAGATAAGTGGTTTTAAGTAGTTGTTTACATTCAAGGGGATATATTTCCATTGATAGTCAACTTAAGACGAGGAGTGATTTCTTTTTAGATTTAATTCTAGTTTATAATTACCAAAAAAATTAATTGATTCAAATTTAAAAAATAAATTTTTTACAAAGACGGTACAGCAAAAAAGTAGACTCTCTAATAATAATAAGAAATAATAATTATAGCAGATCAAAACTTTAAAAGTTACCATTTTGTCTTAACCATTGGTGATGGTGATGATGATGATGTTTATAAATTTAAAAATTATCTAGTTGACGATAACAGTATTTGATAATAAAAATAAAACATAACTGGTAAACGGGTTGTCATACTGCGGTATGGAGGTAAAACTAACAATAACAAAAAAAAAAAAATAAAAAAAAAAAAATAATAAAATTAAGTTTACGCAAAATAAAAATAAATTCCCCTCTCTTAATAAAAGTAAAGGGTGTCCTCCACTCCACACGTACAAAACATACAGATGCACACCCACCACTCACACAGAATAATCTTACAACTTCAAAAAAGAAATTTTGAATTAAATCACCAAACACATCATCAACAAGAGAGTATTATTTTTAAATGTATGAAGATAGTGTTGAAGTTGATAAATATTGACGTTGAGTTAACGTATGTAGGAATAATTCATACATAGGTAAAGTACCGTAATAATACATCCTAATCTAAGTTTAGACTAAACCTTACTGATCGACAATAGGGGAAACAAAAACAAAAATAAATTTTAATGTGGTGGTGACAGATATGATGAACAAAGAACGATAAACCCGCTGAATCCAGATTAACACACACAACTTTGTACTTAATACATGAAGAGAAGTGCCGTACTGCATAGATGGAAGATAAAAATAATTTCTTTTTTTTTATTTTTTTATTTTTTTATTTTTTTATTTTTTTTATTTTTTTTTATTTTTCTCATACAGAATTCTGGAAATGTGGGAGAAATATCGAACACATTCTTCATATTCTTTGAAGGGGATGAACAATAATAATAATATTATATCGTAACCAACCAATAATATATTCCTATCTTGTGTAAATTCTTTTAAATAATAATTTCCTTAGGAGATTACACGACTTGATAAAATTAATTGGTCTTCTTCATAATTTTTAGAAATAACTATTAACCTTTTTAAACTAAAAAACCCCCTCATTGTTTAATTAACGTCAGTATCTTTTTTTTTTTTTTTTCTCAGCTTTTATTTAAATTGACGCACATTTCCATGATAGTTTTTTTTGGTCCTTTCAAGAATTTGGATTAGGATTTACATTAACGATTAGAACTATTTGTAAGTCTGGGAGATCTTCATTTATACTTATTTTAAGATAGTCAAAGACATAAACTTTAACAACCGTATTACAACTTATCTATTCGAATAAATAAAGTAAAAAAGAATCAAAAATCAAAAATCAAAACTGATATAATAAAATGTCTTCCGTCAAAAAGAGAATTAGACTTTTACCTCCTGAAAAGAGACAAAAAGTATCCACTGCTTGTGATTCATGCAAGAAAAGAAAATATAGATGTACAGGTCAAAATCCTTGTGAAACATGTGTCAGAAGAGGTTACGAATGTAGTTACACTATTGTCGATAAGAGATCTTTAAAAGCTGAAAGAATCGCTAAATTAAAGTTACAAAAACAAGGACAACTGATTAATAATCAAGAAATCATTCATAATCAACAACAACAACAACAACAATTCCAACAGTTCCCTCATCAACCTTCAAATGAACAATTATTAATGTTTAACCAAGGTCAAAACTTGGAGAATGTCAATAAATATGACGACAATTTAAGTCCAAATACTATAATCAATCAACATCAACAACATCATCATATGTTATCTCCTGATGATGCCCCATCTTCAACATCTTCTATATCATCAGCTTCAACTATTTCTCCTACTAATAATATCGATTCCCCTTCAAATACATATATTCCAAAATCTTTACAACCTTTATTATCTTTCCCATTAAATCATGCTGAAGGTGGCGAAGACAGTGAAAATAGTAATCGTGGTTCAACTTCATCTGCATCTTCAACTCCTTCATCTTCATCAGCTTTCTCTTTGAATTCAGTCCCTTCATCTTCTTCATCTACTCAAAATAGCCCTGGTTCAGCTATTCCTTCCTACAAGATTAGTCGTCAACAATACTTGCAATTGAAACCAGAGTTAAATAATAGTAACAATATTGATATTGATATTATAGATGATGATGATTCTGCTCCAACTTCAAATGATGGTGGTGTTTCTAATCAAAATGGTAAATGTATCATTTTACTTAATGATAAATCTGGTACTTTTAGATTTATGGGAGAAACTGCTCCATTATCTTTATTATATGAATCAAGAAATGTAGTAATTCAATATATTGGAGCTGGCTCCAATTTTACTGAAAAGTTACAATGTTGTCCTGTCATCGATAGACCGGATTTACCTCCTACAAGAATGATGGGCAATCAATTACCAAAATATGAAGATGCTAGGAGTTATATTGAATATTTTAAAAGAAATATTAATGATTCATTCTTTGTGTTCAATATGGAAGATTTCAATCGTGATTATTTTCAAATGATTTATAATCACGATGAATTGATTCCTGAAGCTGAAAAGAAACAAAAATTAATCATTTTCTATCTTGTGGCAGCTATTGGATCTACTTATAGTCATTTCACTCAATATATTATTGATTCCCCTCGTTCTCAAGCTTTATTTGAATATGCTCTTTATTTATTACAAGATACCATTCAAGATTCAGAATTATGGGTGGTTATAACCAATTATTTGATTTTCCATTATTATCAAGCTGTTTTAAAGAAATCTACAGCTTGGATTCATTTGAATTTAGCTATTAAATTTGCTCAATCCATTGGTATGCATAGAACTTTTGTTAATGAACAATTCAATTATAAATCTGAAGATAGTGAATACAAGAAGAAATTATTCAGAAGTCTTTATGTGTCCGATAGAATGTCATCAATTTTTATTGGTAGACCATTAACTGTTAATGATTATGATTATGATGATCCGATTTTAACCACCAATTATAATAAATTACAATCCAATAAATTACTTGATTTTAATTCTAAATGTCAAATTGAATTAACTAGAATATGTCATTTAGTGGGTAAGATTGTGATTAATTTCTATCAAGGTCGTATTATTGATATTAATAAGACTAAGAAATTAGCTATTGAATTAAAATTATGGTCTATGAATTTAGATGATCAATTATCTATTAATAATATCTTTAAGGCTCTGGAATCAATTTCTAATAATGCAAATCATCAAAATACTCATATTCTTTTGTTAATTCATTTAATGCAATTATGGGCTACAATGTTATTAAGTAGACCATTCTTTATGTTTGAAGCTGTTGAAAAATTAAATCCTAATCGCCAAACATCCACGGTTAAGAATCGTAAGTTATCTATTCAATTTTATCAAGCTGCTGTTAAAGCCAGTATCTTGGCTATTAAGTTAGTCAATTACTATATGAATACTTCTTATAAACAAGTGGTTCGTCGTGAATGTTATGCTCTTATCACATGTTGTTTCTATGGAAGTTTAGTGTTAGGTATTGGTGTGTTACATGGTGGTTTCAAAGACGATGAACATTCCGATATTGAGATGATTGATACTTTGAAAATGGCTAGTAATATGTTACATGAATTCACTCCTACCAATAAAGGAGCTGAAAGATATGAAGATATTGTCAATGATTTGATTGAAGTCTTATTGGTTAATAAACAACGTCAAAATTCAGACATAACCATAGTTAATCAAGAAATCATTGGTAAACAAGTGGATAAAGAATTAGAAAATTTAGATTTCAGAGTCTTAAATGATTATAACTTTATTGAAGATAGTAATAACAATTTGGAATCATTGATTAAATTCCAAAAGTTCTTTGTTAGTCCTGAATTATTACCCATGGATTTAATCTCTCCATCTTCATCAGATGATTCATCTGATTTCAATTTCTTAAACAATGATGGTTCCTCTACCACTATGCCTCATGATTATGGTAATTATGAGTTGTTATATGGTGATAAATATTAGTCAGTTCTATTTATCTTTTTTGAAAACCCTTTCCTTTTTATTTCTTGGTACTTAGTTTCTTCCTCCAATCCTTTTTTATATACTTTTTTTTACTTCTTATATCCCATTCTTTCTTTCATTGTAAGGGGAAAGGTTTTAGGTTTAGTTTTAGTTGTTTATAGTGTGATACATTGTTTATACTTACTTTACTATATATACTATTTTGTTTAAATTGAAGTTAACTACTGTAAGTTGCTGTTGCCATTTTCGCGGTGAGAGGTGGTGATTTTAAAAATTTCGCTCTTCCCGATTCCGATCTAAATTATCATCAAAATATTTTGACCGTCAAAACCAATCGTGATAACATCATCGTCAACAGCCAACCAGCGTCATAGACTAATAGGATGTACCATTTCAATCGTATCAATGGGAAGTCGATATCGTTTCTTTACATCGTGATACTATCGCTGTTGTGGTTGCTTCCGTCCTTTGTTATGGGATCACCTGGGGATGATCTTTATGCAACACTGGATTGTAAATATCAATGTGAACAAATCACTTGTGAAAACAATCGATTCTATTATAGATATGATAGACAACTATATTATAATCCAGGATGGCAATTTGATCCTATGCCGTTGCCTACTTATTTGAGGTTATTACAATGGGATTGTTATTCCAATTGTGATTATCAATGTCAAAGAACCATCACCAGGGAACGGAAATTACATCAAGAAGAATTATATCAATTCCATGGTAAATGGCCATTTCTTCGATTATATGGGATTCAAGAAGTTGCATCAGTCATATTCTCCTTAGGAAATCTATATGTTCATATCATTGGATTAAAAAAGATCTTGAAAAGTTATTCCAACCCAAATAATCATCCTCGTTTAAAACAACAATATACGAATCTATTCATCCTGAATTTCTCATCCTTATCAGCTTGGATTATGTCCACCATATTTCATATTCGTGATACTGATGTAACTGAAAAATTAGATTATTATTGTGCTGGATTATACGTTATGGTTGGATTTTATACTTTAGGTTCAAGATATGGTGAAGCTTATCTTGATCGTAATAAGAAATATCGTTATGTATTTCAATTCATTTGTATTATATGTTACGTTGGCCATATTGCCAGATTAGTTATTGATTGGTCTTATACTTATAATATGAGAGCTAATATCTTAATTGGAGTTTTACAAAATTTATGTTTGATAGGGACTTGTTATTACATTTATTCAAAATATTATTATATTGAACAAGATCATCAAAAGAATGAAAAAATCCCTTATATTCAAAATCATTTACCTTATATAAATTTCAAAGCTATCATACTACCTAGTTTCTTTTCATCATCACCAAAATTATATTCTCTTTATCCATTAATCTTAGGATTTATAGTGGTCTTAGGAATGTCATTTGAAATCCTTGATTTCCCTCCCATTTTCTTTGATTTAATTGATGCTCATTCCATTTGGCATTTGATTACTATCTTCCCTGCTTATTTCGGATGGTATGATTGGATGTTATGGGATATCAATGAAAATGTATGGGACCATATTCAACAAGTTGAATTACAAAAGAAGCAATGATTCTTCTCTTTAATCTTCTCTTAATTAATTAATTAATATATATTATTATATCTATACTACATGGGGTTCTTTTTCTATTTAATCATCAAGTTCTTCAACTGGAGGAACATATGGTGGAGGCTTAAAGAATTCTTGATCTTGTTCAACCATAAGTTTGAAGTTTTGTTTGTTTTCAACAAATTGATAAAGATATTCTAATTCTAAATCATGAACTTGTCTACCTAACATAACCAAAGTATGTAAAGGTTCACCACTATCATAATCAACTAATTCCTTTAAGGTACCTGCTTTAAAAGTTTGAGTTGGAGAACCTAATCTTGATACAGCCACTACAGGAGTATTTTCAGTATATGCTTGTTCTTGTCTTGATTCTTCAATTTCAATTAATTGAGAACAAGCAGTAGAGATATCCATATATCTTGGAGGTTCATAAATTAATCTCCCTCTTGCCATATTTTCAATGCTCTGTTCTTTAACTTTAATATCTAATAAGATTAAAGTATGTAACCCAATTTTTCTATTTTCCATAATTTTATTATAAAACGAATCAGGTTTCCAACTATCAGTGAAAAATACCAAAGAAATAGTTTGACCAAATTGATATAATTGTAATCCACATGCACCAACAGCATTCATAACACTAGCATTATGAATAGTTTCAACTTTAATCCCTAATTCTCGAGCTCTAATAACTAAATCAGTATGAGTAGTAGCTCCAAATGGATCACCAACCACTAAAAATGCCACATCATTTTCACCTTCATTATCGATTTCAGCTCCAGCTAAGATTTCATCACTTCCCCCTTCAACTAATTCACGATCAGCTAATATAACTTCTCTACCATAAAATTTCTCTAATGACAGTTGATCAGCAGTCATTAATATAGAAGTATAGGCTTCTAAATAGACACGTTTACATCTTTTGACGACTTCAAGACCACGAACAGTGATATCTGATTCATGAGATAACCCCAATCCAATTAAGTACAACATGATCTATCCTGTAATTGAATCTTTTCCTAATACCTTCTGGGATTTTAATAACTAACCGGTTAAGTTTAATATAAATATCTCATCGATGAAAAAAAATTATGAGTGCATCTCATCACGTGAAAATATTGAAATTTTTCATTTTAACATTCTTCTTCTTCTTCTTGTTGTTATGGTATTATAATGACAAAGACAACGGGGAAAGGAAGTAGGAGTATCAAGAGGAAGGCGAAGAATGATACTCTTGACCAAGATATTAAATTGTATCGTGAATTAATGAGAAGGTCTGAAGAATTGGAATCAGATATCCCACCTCGAAAGTCAAAACTTCAAACCTCATCATCAAATTCGAATTCGAACCATGATTGGAATCAGGTACAACCTGTGGTGAAGCATGAAGTGGATGAAGAAGATGAAAGCTTATCAACAAGAAGATATTCTAGACGTAGCACTAGATCCATGACAAGACTGCTTGAGAAAGAGAATAATGAGAAAATTGAAGATCCAATTAAAATCAAAAAACCAAGATCAACTAAAGTTAATATTCCTAAACGACCTCAATTCTATAGCATGAATAAAGTCATACCCATGGAAAAGAAACAATCTACGAATTTACGAAACAAAATTAAACCAAATACAATAAATAACATTAAAATAAATAATCCTAATCATAAACATGAACAAAACATTCAATTAGATCATACATATCTGACATTAATAAGTATGATTAAATCAAACATTTCTCAAGATAATATTGATATACCATTAATAAATAATTTGATTCCCAAGAATTTAAACTATGAACATGAAAGATTCCAAATTAAAAACAACCATGATAATGAAAGTCAATTTTTACGAGCCACAAATCAATTAACACATAAAGGTTTCAATAGTTATGATATTGATTCATTTTTTGATTTCTTAAATGGAATTGAAAGTAGTAATCCTGATAAATTAAAACATGACATTCCATTCGTATAGATTAAATAGCACATAATCCATCAATAATTTGGAATAATAACGATGATGATAATGACGATGATACATCCACCAGTTCTGAGATTAATTGTTTAACTTTAACTTCATAGATCTTGATCAAATTCCTAGTATATTCTAATGATTTTGATTCAAGTTGCATATATTGAATACAATCATTAATTTCTTCAACTTTTAATTTCCGTTCTTCAGCTGAATTTGTAGTTGTTAATAATTTTTGAACAGGTGAATTTTTATTATTAATTAAACAATGCAAGATTGGTAAAGATAATTTTCCTTCGATTAAATCTTCACCTGATAATCCTTTCATATGACTATATTTTGGATCAGTTAAATTAAGATAATCATCTCTAATTTGATAAATGATACCTAAAAGATTAGCAATCGGAATAAGATCAGCTTTAATAGATGAAGGAGAAAACAATTTTAATAATCGAATTGATAATCGGAAAATCCCACCAGTTTTATCTTTAATCATTTGTAAATAATCTTCAATACTCGGTAATTGATTTAAATTATCGATTAATTTAAAATTATCTCTCCAATAAATATCTAAACCTTGACCATGATGTAAATTTAACATTTCATCAATTAAAACTAGCAGAGTTTCAAATTTCAATTTATCCATATTAATATTGGAAGTTGTGACTGATTGGAAAAGCTTTGGTAAATCGATTTGAGCTTTTTGAAGGGCAATAAAATACATTAAATTCCCACAGTTGATAGTTAATGGTATACCATATTTAGTATGAGCAGCAGGTAAACCACGTCTATAAAGAGATGAATCTTCGATATCATCGATTAATAATGACAGATTATGGAATATGGAGATGATTTCTCCTATGAGATCCAATAACCTTTCTTGTTCAATATGATAATAAAGACTATTAAATGCTACTAAGAATCGATTTCGAACATTTTGATTATTAGAAGGAATTGATGATAAATAGTCATAGGGTTGAACTATAGGATCAGACGTGTCTCTATTGTATCCGTCAGTATGTTGAATGATATTGTCTATATCTATCTCCACCACCATATTGTTTCTATTGTCGTGTTTAGTTAGGTATACCTCCCTCTCTCCACAAACCCTTCTGACTGATTAGAGATCATAAAATTTTTTTGGCGGCAAATTTCTGATCACACTTTATAAATTATATACAGGACGAGATATTTGTTATTAAAAGACCACCGCATAGCATAAAAGGAAGAATTAGTTATGATGATATATTTCAAATCAATGAACTCAGATATCATATCAGAGCCAATTCAATTAAGACACTGAAGACAGAAGAAGTAGCAGTAGCAGTAGAAGAAGATACACAATGGAACGAGTAGGGGCTTGGATAGCGAGTATACCTCCTGTAACTCGATACTGGTCACTACTAATCGTGGGATTAAGTATCTATTCAAGTTTTGTACCTGATAAAAAGATGTTATTAGTATTTTTACCAGAGAAAGCATTTGGTACTCAACCATGGAGATTATTAACTGGGTTTTGTTACTTTGGAGATTTTTCAATTCAATTGGTTATAAATATGTTTTTATCATTACGATCGATTCGATATGTTGAACAATCATATAATTCAGATTCATCATTATTTCCTCCATTTATGATGAATGGGTTAAGTCCTAATCAAAGATCGAAAATCATATTATTAAAGGAAATGTATCAAACTCTTGATTTTCTTTATTTTATGGTTCAAATAAGTTTTACAATCTTGGCTATTGTAACCTATGGATTTTATAAATTTAATTTAAAAATCATTTATCCTGGAATGATATTAGATGATTCAATATTATATATTTGGAGTCGAACCGATCCAAATATGGTTGTTAATCTTTTTGGATTTTTAAATTTAAGAATTGCTTATTTACCTTTTATTTATGTGCTATTAAGATCAGTATTAGAAAAGAGATTTTTACAAGATTTAGAGAAATTACTCCGATTTGATATGACAGTATTTCAATCCATGTTTGCTTGGAAACATTTAATTGCTTATGGAGTAGGACATTTATGGTGGTTTATGAGATATTTCTTATTACCTAAACTTTATGCAAATCTGAATAAATTGAAATCTGATGAAAGAGTTAAGACTTTAAATCAATATAGAATTAATATTAATAAGTATAAAATTATGCCTGATATATTAAGATTAATATTATTACCCCCATGGTATTGGATTATAATGATTGATATGAAATATAATCGTCGTTATTTATAAGATAGTATAACATAGTATAGTATAGTAAAGTAATGTATAATAGTTTAAATGTAAATAAGAATTACTTTTGCAGTAACATTGTAAAATGGTGTAAGTGGTTATGATTATTCGGAATCGGCATTATCAATGACATATAGGAACAGTTATTTATCCAGTTTCGCATATGTCACGTCAAATCATAAATTGTGTATAAGCGCATTTGTTACCACACTAAATATAATAACTCCTATAATTACACGGAATTTTGAAAGTAATAATATGAAAGTGAAACTTTAAATGGTTAACAAAATGGTTACAATGAATGATACCCAAAAGGTTATACCTCTCCGCTTTTTCCATACCTTTTAAACAACACCTGTTCCCTAAAAATAAATTCCCGATAATTATACCTCCAAGATCCACCGTTAAATGACATTCAAGTAATAATTTAAAGTTAACACATACTAAGTTAACCAACAAGGAAGGTGGTTTATGGCCTTGGGTTGAGTTTCCCCTTCTTTTCTTGTCTGATCTTGGTCGTGGTGGTATATTATTTATTAGAAATCAAAATTTTGAAGTTTGGGGGTGAATTAAAGGAACATGTTCCTAATTGGGAAATAGTCCCTCCGTCGAACCAGAAAAAAATTGGTGGGGTAAGAAAACTAAAATATTTCAATTATAAACTATAAATACCCTTTCAACATCTCCATCTTCATCCTTTGGATTGCTCTGTATAGATTTTGTTCTTCTGAATTACAACTTCTACATTCAATTGATTCAAAAACAATTAAAAAACAAAATCTCACACAATGACTGCTGATTTCGATGTTGAATATGTGTTATCTCAATTAACCGTTGATGAAAAAATCGGTTTATTAGCTGGTATTGATTTCTGGCATACTTTCCCTGTTAAAAGATTGGGGGTTCCAAGTCTTAGATTCAGTGATGGTCCTAATGGTATTAGAGGTACTAAATTCTTTAATAGTGTTCCATCTGGTTGTTTCCCTTGTGGTACTGGTTTAGCTGCTACTTTTGATAAAGAATTATTACGTAAAGCTGGTAGATTAATGGGTGAAGAAGCTAAACACAAGGGAGCTCATGTTATCTTAGGTCCAACCATTAATATTCAAAGAGGTCCTTTAGGTGGTAGAGGTTTCGAATCCTTTAGTGAAGATCCTTATCTTACTGGGTTAGCTGCTACTGCTATTATTAAAGGTATTCAAGATGAAGGAATTGCTGCTACTATCAAACATTTTGTTTGTAATGATTTAGAAGATGATAGAAATTCTTCTAATTCGGTCTTATCAGAAAGAGCTTTAAGAGAAATCTATTTAGAACCTTTTAGATTAGCTTTGAAAGATTCAAATCCAAAAGCTCTTATGACTTCTTATAATAAAGTTAATGGTGAACATGCATCTCAATCAAAAAGATTATTACAAACCATTTTAAGAGATGAATGGGAATGGGATGGTACTATAATGTCTGACTGGTACGGAACTTATACCAACAACACTTCCATTGAAAATGGTTTAGATCTTGAAATGCCAGGTCCAACCAATTTTAGAAGAATTCAAGAATTAAAACACATGATTTCAACTAAAGAATTACACATTAAAGATGTTGACGCTAGAGTTAAAAGTGTTTTAAATTTAGTTAAATACGCTTTGAAATCAGGAGTTCCAGAAAATGGAGCTGAAGATACTACTAATAATACTCCAGAAACAAGTGCTCTTTTAAGAAAATTAGCTCAAGATTCAATTGTTTTACTTAAAAATGAAGATAATGTCTTACCTTTAAAGAAATCTGAAACCGTGGCTGTCATTGGTCCAAACGCTAAATACCCTGCTTATTGTGGTGGTGGTTCAGCTTCTTTAAGAGCTTATTATACTACTACTCCTTTTGATTCAATTACTGAAAAATTAGATGGTAAAAAACCACCATATTCAGTGGGGGCCAATGGTCATAGATTATTACCTGGTTTAGCTAGTAATTTAATCAATCCAGTAACCGGAAAAGCTGGTTATAATTTGAAATTTTATAAAGAACCAAGTGATAAAGCTAAGAGAACTTTATTTGATGAATATAATTTAGATATTTCAACTGTCTTCCTTATTGATTATTATAATGATGAAGTTAAAGATGATTTATATTATATTGATTTTGAAGGTGATTTCACTCCAGAAGAATCAGGTGAATATGAATTCAGTGCTTCAGTAATTGGTACTGCTCAAGTTTTTGTTGAAGAAAAATTAGTGGTTGACAATAAAACTGTTCAAAGAAGAGGTAATTCCTTCTTTAATTCTGGTTCTGATGAAGTTAAAGGTAAGATCGATCTTGTAGAAGGTAAAACTTATAAGATCAAAATTGAATTTGGTTCTCGTCCAACTTTTACGATTGCTCAAGGTGAAGCAAGTGTTATCACTGGTGGTGGTGGTGTTAACTTAGGTTTACAAAAAGTGATTGCTCCAGAAGAAGAAATTAAAAATGCTGTAGCCATTGCTAAATCAGTTGATAAAGTCGTGTTGAACATTGGTTTAAATCAAGAATGGGAATCAGAAGGTTTTGATAGAACTCATATGGATTTAGTCGGTGTTCAAAATGAATTAATCGAAGCTGTTTTAGAAGCCAATCCAAACACTGTTATTGTCAATCAATCTGGTACTCCAGTTGCATTCCCATGGTTATCCAAAGCCAAAGCTTTAGTCCATGCTTGGTATGGTGGTAATGAAGGTGGTAATGCCATTGCTGATATCTTATACGGTGATGCTAATCCAAGTGGTAAATTATCCTTAACTTTCCCATATTTAAACATTGATAATCCAGCTTATTTACATTTCAAGACTGAAAGAGGTAGAGTTTGGTATACTGAAGATATCTTTGTTGGTTACAGATTCTACGAAAAATTAGATAGAAAAGTTGCTTTCCCATTCGGATTTGGTCTTTCATATTCTGAATTTGAAATTTCTAACTTAAATATTAAAGTTGATGAAGTCAAAGATAAATTAGAAGTCAATGTCCAAGTCAAAAACATTGGTAAATTAGCTGGTTCAGAAGTTGTTCAAATCTATATTGGTAAGAAGGATTCTGATGTCATTAGACCTGTTAAAGTATTGAAAGGTTTTGAAAAAGTATTGCTTAAGGCAGGTGCTAAAGAAACTGTTACTTCAAGTTTAAGTTTGAAAGAATCTGTTTCATTCTTCGATGAATATCAAGAAGAATGGTCAGTTCAATCTGGTGAATACCAAGTTTACGTTGGTAATAGTAGTGATAACGCTACTACTGTCGGAACCTTCTCTGTTGAAAAGGCTTTCTTCTGGCTCGGTAATTAAAGGGGATAATAAAATATAAAAAAGATCTTGTTTGATTATAGTTTTAGTTTAGTTTAGATATGAAAATGTAAATGTAAATGTAAACAATTATTTTATTTTAATCGTTGTGTGTATGAATTCTACAAGTAAGTGACTTTAAATTGTTAAATAAAAAAAAGTTGTATATGAATTTCTTTGCAATAAATAATAAGAGAAATAAACAATAATATATATATATAACCAAATAGAAGAGAACTGAAATCAAATACATGTTTTTGTAAGTTTTTAATCTTTTTTCATGTTTTTTGGAGTTGTAATTAATATATCTTTTAAGTAAGTTTTATAAAATTCCGATGATATATAAACCTATTTTGTATTTTAAATATTTTTTCATACCTATTTCAGGATACCGATATCTTTAATCTTTTCAATTTCTTGAGTTAAAACCACTGGAACTTCAATTGATTCATGTTCAATGTTCACTGGTTTCTTAACCTTTACTGGTTCATCTCTCTTACTATCAGATGGAGTCATCACTAAATCAGCAAAGTTAATCTTATGACTAAGATTACTTGAAGAATCATTGGCTGAATCATTACCTGCGGTTTCATTCCATTCTAATAATTCTTTTTGATGTTCTCTTTCAATGGCATAATTGACAGCATCTAAAACATTTTCACAAAGATGTTTTGGAGTATATTTTGGAACAGTACCATCTTTATAAACCCCAGTCTTTACTAAAATTGAATGCCATGATGCATCATGAGAATTGGCAAATCTAATATCTGACTCAGGAGTATCACCCACAAAATAAACGGTAGAAGCTGGAGGTAATTCTAAAGTAATCTTTTCTGACTTCTTTACAAGAGCCAATGGTTCCTTAATTTCACCATCAGATGAATCATTTTCATCATCATAAGTCTCCAATCTATTTTGATTAATGATTTCTTCACCATGTTCATTTATAAGAATATCAGCATCAGTTAAAGCATTTGGATCATCAATGGATAATTTCTTTAAATGTTCATCTAAAACACCTTGTCTCCAATGAGTTAAAACTTTATTTGCAAATTTAAAAGTACCTTTTTGAGGTTTACCAAATCTATTAACTTTTAATTCATGACCAGTATGTTCACGATATAAAGCAGCAATAGAAACTTGTAAAGCACCCATACCATATCTTGATAATTTATAATTTGTAGCCCAAATAAAATCAGAATGAGCAAAATAAATTTGAGGACCTTCATCATAAGTTTTTGATTCTGTACCCATTACTCCATGTTTACTTAATAATAATTCCAAGATAATTTGTTGATCAGCGGCCCAATTTCTTGAATCAGCAAATACTAAAATTGCATCAATTGAAACTTTTGAAAAATCAACTTCTTTGGCAGCTTTTTTATCTTCTTCACTTAAATCATGATATGGAGATACAGCAGGATTCCATTTTAAAACATCAATAGGAGTATAAACATGTTTAAAACCATAAGATTCAGCTACATTACGACAAACATTACCTATACCACCAACCACTAAAACATTTTGATAAACACCAACTAAATCTTTCATAGGAGTATGACCTTGAATGATTTGAGCTGGAGTGATAGTACATTGTAACCTTTGACTTAAATCAGTAGCTCTGGCAGATTCTGGTTTACCACCACCATTGGTAACAAATATAGAAGGAACTTTAATATTATATTTATTTTCACCATTTAATAATTTCATAGCTTCCACAGCTTCGGGTATAGTGTTTGGACCTCTTAATATAACCCCATCAATATCGAAACAGAAAGCATAAGAGGCTACTCTTACATGGTCAATCACGGTTTTCTTCTTTCTTCTTATTATAGATGAGTTTCTAGATAATTTAGCTAATGAATCAACTTTTTTTAAATCAGATGATGAATTTTTCGATAATGAAGTTGAAGAAGTTAATTTGGTTAAACCATTTTGCCATTGATTCAAATCAGACAAGGATAATGAAGAAACACGATGTTTTCTTGTGGTAGGTTGTAAATCATCAATACCATCATTATTAAGATATGATTGAAATTGAGGAGAAGCAGCAATAGCAGAAGATTCTTGAGCAGTATCTTCAAAAGTCATAATGAACGTGTATAAGTTATTAAATTAGTTAGTTTAAGTATCAATTATGGAAATGATATCTTGATTGAAGTAATATTGAAATTGAAAATTAAAAAGTTATCGTGGTTGTTGATTGGAAGAAAGCAATTATCATCCTATTTATACTCTATACGTATCGGACTGTATATAAACACTTCCTAATTGGGCTGAGCTGAGTTTTGTGCAGTTTTACTTTTAAGTATGAGATGACATCATTTTACAGGTTAGTTACTATGCAGGTTTCATTCCATTCTATATAGAACACGGTTAAATTGCTAAATTCTTTGTTCATACCCTGCCACGAAACTCTCCTCTTGGTATTGTTAAATTGATCTTTATTTCTTTTTCACATATACCAATTTAATAGTCAGAATAAAGGATAAAGGTAAATGATCGTAAGATTTTAACCAACAACCAATAGTTTAAGTGAGGTGGACGTGTTATCATTTTAAACATGTAAAAAAGTTTAAAGCTTTCGTCAAAGATTAAGAGCACTGAGATCACAGATCAGTAACCTGTAAAAAATGAAACTTAAAGACATAAGAAAACTGTAAAAAATAATATGCATTCACGTGATCTCATCGTAATTAATTAATTAATTAAAACTTGCTATTTGGGTACGTATCACAAAGGGTTAAGATGATCCCATTAACTAACCCAACGGGACTAACGTTTTATGACGTTGGTCTTACATATGATCGGATACGATAAGTAAGTTTAATGATCATGTCACTTTTGAATGTTGTAATAGGTTGCATTAATCCTATTATTAGAAACACAAAAAGAAATGAACAACCAAGCCAAATGTAAAAAGATAAGAAAATAAATTCAGGGCAAAACGTCATTTAACGACTCTTAGCATAGGTTCACTTGGGTAGCTAACTTGGCTACTTAAAAGCGTTTAATGAAACATTAATGATACTTCATGTTGCTAATAATAAATTGTAAGTAGATCAAAACCATAAAGAGAATCTTACATTGGAAAAAGCGCAATCATATTTATGCCTAATTCGTAAATTAAGTATATATACTAACTCAAATGATGTAAAAAGCAATCAAGAATGATTAATAGTTCTATTCAATAGGGATAGATAGCAACGAAGGAATAGAAAATTCTTTTCATTTGAATGACTTGTTTAATTATAAAATAATTGCTTTCAAGGGGTTGATTAACGTAGGGGGGACCACAGGAAAATTACGCAGAAATCTGAATGCGCCTTTTCATTTCTTTTCGTTCGTAGTTTGTCGTAACATACAGTAATTATTTTACTTTATCTAGTCATACTAAAATGATACGTGTTACCCATTTACGATTATAATATAACTCAGTAGTAAAAATAATAATAATTAGAAGTGAAAAAGAAATTATCATCCTTTATAAAATAAATTTGCGCTTAGAATTGTCTAAAACAGAGCTTTGACCACATTGGAGTTAAAAGGATTAAACCTCATATGATTAAAACTGTTAATATAATTGATTGATCCTTAAAGACAAGGAAATTTCAATTATATAATTGACATTAATGATAGCTAGTCACTGCCTACTTATTATTTTAAATTTTTAGTCCACCTTGCATAATTAGTATCGTTAGATTTAGATTGACCTATTTTCAAACTAACCGATATTGAATTGAATACTGGAAGTAAAGACAGAAACAAGTCAATTATCGGCTCGTAATACATCTTATCAGTTATTTGCACCCTACCACTCCGTTATAAATTAAGATAATGTGTCAACATTAACCCCCCACGATAAATTCAAATCACAAATGGTCTGTGGATCGGGTAGTTTGTCAAATAGAAGAGGATTCTATTCTACTATTCCTATCCGTAACAAACTGTGCGTGCTTATTGTTACTTTATGTTGTTGTTAACAAGCGTTTGGCGGCTTTGCCTCTAATTCACAGGCTAATTTTAATAGAGACCCACCACTAAATTGCGGGACTGCGCCCTATATAAAAAAAACATTTACCCCACCAAAACTTTTCACAATGAAGCTAAGCTTAATAACGGCTAAGATTTGAAATTATCACAGGAACTGCCACTAAATTTAATATACAAAAATGGAAATAAACATTGATTTATACACAATATATATATATAGAGTTAAGACAGGTACGTTCAGAGAAATAATGAAATGGGTTCATTTTATAATACCATATCGCTATTATTTTTAGCTAGTGTAATAGTTATCATGAGTGTTCTTACCCTTACTGGGCTCTATGTCATTTTATCAATTCCAGTTAAGTTATTACTCCTTTTACTTAGTTATCCATTTGTAGGAGGATTTGGAAGAAAGTATAAACACCATTTAGGTCATTCCCTTCGTTTATTATTATGCCGAACTGGTTTAATGGTTCCAGTTAGGGACTGTGCCTATATTTGTATTTATAGTAATGAAGTTTTATTAAAAACTATTATTAAAATCCTTCATAGAAATTATCTTAATAAAGAAAAATTGAATGATTATGGTAAAAGATATGATGAAAACTCATTTTGGATTGTTAAACAACCAGATATCAAAAAGAATGATCCTATTATTGTTTATTTACATGGTGGAGGTTATTATTTTGAAACCATGCCTTCTCAAATTGAATCATTATTAGCAGTTCAAAAATTATTAGATCCATCCCTTAGATCAAAAGTATCAATCTTACTTTTAGATTATAAATTAGCTTGTCGAGGTTATACTATGCCTAATCAATTAAATGAATTACATCAAACTTATAAACGTTTAGCATTTGAAGAAGGTTATACCAATATTCTGTTTATTGGTGATTCAGCAGGAGGAAATTTAGCCGTAACTTATTTACAATATTTAAAATTAGTAAATGAAAAGACTCCTATCGTTTATCCCAATAAAGTGGTTTTAATTAGTCCTTGGGTTAAAGTCGCTATTGAAGAACATCAATATGCTCCTGGTAATTCAATGTATGATAATGATCCTATTGATATGATTCAATATAGAGCTTTCCATGATGTTGACAGAGCAAAAGCTATCGTTGGACCTTCAAATGTTCATAGTTTATTAATCTCACCTGGTAATACCCCTTATAAACATGACGATTGGACTTCTATTCCAACTTTATCGTCCCCAACTTCTGATATATTGGTGTTAGTGGGTGAAGATGAAGTGTTTAGAGATGATGTTTTAACTTGGGCAAAATATGCTTTAGGTGTACCATTATATGGAAAATATAAATATGGTGATTCTGAAGGTAAAAACTTAAATAAATTAACTTATATTAGAAAAAGTGATGAAAAATCTGCTGGTATCAGATTTTATATTGAACCTTGGGGAGTTCATGATTCTACATTATTTTTTGAAAGTCATTTATTAAGAAAATTAACTAAAAATCCAAAATTAACCATTGATGCTCTTGATCAAGATGAATTTTTCGGAATTACTAGAATTGTGAAGTTTTTAAATGAAACTTTAACTTGAGAAAGTTAAATTGTTTATATATTTGTATATGTAGTAAAAGTATAAATTATTTATAATAAGACAATTAGAGAAAAGAATAATGATCACTGTAAAAAAAGACTAGCTTCTTGTTCAGTAATCAATTAGTGGTAAAAAAAAACAGAGTGTAATTGCAAATTATCATAACAAACAGTCTTAATAAAAAACCTAATCCTCTAAATTCTCATTAGCCTTTTTCATTCTAGCAATTTTAACCAATGGACTTAATGAAGATACATCATCACTTTCCAAAATGAATTTATCATGTAATAATTCATCAGCAGTAGCTCTTTTATTAAAATCAACTTGTAAACACCAGGATAAGAATTTTCTAATATCATAACTTAAAGCTTCTGGTTCCTTTAATTTTGGTGTACCATTAGTAGCAATCAAATATAATGCTCTTAATGGTGTTTCATTCAAATATGGTGGTTCACCTTCAATCATTTCAATAATCATAATACCTAACGACCAAATATCAACTTTTGGACCATATTCTTTTCTTGACACCACTTCTGGAGCCATCCAATATGGCGTACCAACCATAGTAGTTCTCTTTAAATTTAATTCATTAATTTGAGCACAGAAACCAAAATCAGTCATTTTAATATTACCATCAATATTTAATAAAATATTATCTGATTTAATATCACGATGAATAACTCCCTTAGAATGTAAAAATTTTAATCCTTTTAATGTCTCACGACATACAGCTCCAATTTGTCCTTCAGTCATAACACTATGTGTAACAATCTCAGTTAATGAACCACCTTCCATATATTCCATAATAACCCATAAATCTCCCTTTAATAAATAAGAATCAATAAAATTAACAATATTAGGATGTTTACTACCTTTCATAACTAAAATCTCATTGATAATTAATTCTTTCTTAGGTTGTTGTTCTAAATTCATTTGTTTGATTGCAACAGTATTAGCTCTATTTTGTAATTCATGAGCAATATAAACCCCACCACTGGCACCTTGACCAATTTTAGTTAAATCAGTATAAAGATTATTTGGATCACCTTCACTGCAAATCGATTGTAATTTGGAAATAATTTGTTGATTCTTACGTTTCTTCTCTTCACGTTTCTTTTGAGCTAAAATAGCAGCTTGCTTGGCATCTCTAACTGGTTGTTGATTTGATTTCTTTCTTTGAATCTCGGGTCCTGGACCTAATTGTTGAGATAAAGATGATGAAGATTGTTGTTGTTGTTGTTGTGATATTTTTTGTTTTTCAAGTTGTCTTTCTTCATACTTTTCACGAGAAACAGGAGCAGTAATGTCAGCTAAAGCTTGCTGAGGACTAGTAAGTCCACCACTTGCTGAAGATGGACCAGCTGATTGCGAAGGTGGAGGTGGTGGAGGTGGAGGTCTATGAGACTTGAAATCTTCTTTACGTTGTTTTTGATATTGCAATTGTTGCTGTTGTTGTTGTTGATAGTGTTGATCTTCTCTACTGAATTGAGATGTTGGTTGAATAGGAGCGGTAGTTGGAATATTTTTAGCTTGTTGTTGTTGTTGCTGTTGTTGCTGTTGTTTAGCAGCGGTTAATGAATAACTATGAGATTTAGATTTTGGAATATTAGATCCTGAAGCAGTTGGGACTGATTGTTGAGGAACAGGTGGAGGAGGTGGAGGAGGAATGTTACTGAATTTTTCAGGATTCTTTCTGGAATTATTTCTAATGGCTTTAAGAGACTTTGAAGAAAGTGATTTCGGTATGAATGAACTACTTTTTTTACGCGGTGAAATATCATCTTGATCTTGTGACTCAGGCGAAGGAGGTATTGGTTGAGATGTAGCATATTGAGATGGTGTTGGTTGTTTCGAAGGTGGTTTTGGTGCAGGTCTTGAAGGAATAAATTGTGTTCCAAAACCACCACTAGTACCAGCACTAGAATTAGGTGTCTTTGGAGGTTGTTGTTGTTGAGATGGAGTAGAAGGTACTTGTTGAGTTGGAACCGGTGGTGCAGGGGCAGGTGGTAAAGGAGGAGGCGGAGGGTGAGTGAGTGAAGCTGCAGTTGTTGATTGTTGAAGATTCGAACCAGCACTACCACCTGGAGATTTACTATGAGGACTTTGAGAGCTTGGGAAAGAAGCACTTGGAGTAGTTGGAGTAGTACTACCATTAGGAACCACTGATGCAGCATTAGTATTACTACCATTATTATTTAAAGTCTTATAACTTGATGAACTACTATTATTACTATTATCAAATTGAAATTTCTTAAATGCATTATCATCTGGATTTTCATTTGAATCTTGATAAAATGCCACGATATCCATCACAGCTTGAGGATGTTGTTGTTGTTCCTTTTTAGAAATCCCACTGGCTGATAATAACTTTTCCCATTCAATAGGCAACCCAGTATAACTACCATTATCATCAACTCCCACATGAGCCACATGTTTGGCATTAAATGGAGTACTAATTTTCATATTTATTTCAGAATTAGAATTAGAATTGGAGTTGGAATTATATGATGAATCATTACTGGTATTTGAATTTCGATTTTTACTACTAAACATCGATGAAAATACTCCCCGTACTCTTGATTTCTTACCTGATGAAGAAGGTGTTGTAATAGTATTAGATGAAGCGGTTGTCAGATTTGATGAATTTCGAGATCCATTAATTGGTGATGGATTTATATTAGTATACGCTCCAATATTCAATGGTGAACCATTATTATTGCCTACGGTTAAACTTGAAGTAGTAGCTGATTTTGGGGTTTGAACATTAGAAAAATTCATTGGTTGTTGTAAAACAGGAGTTATAGCAGCTGTTTTATGATGAGCAACTTGAGCAGGAGGATTAGAATGTTGAATTGGTTGATATTGAGATTGAAATGGTGGTGGAGGGGGTGGAGGGGGTGGACTTCTTATAACAGTCAGTTGAGAAGTTTGTCTTCCTGATTGACCACCTATTCCTAAACCGGCTCCATTTAAAGCATCATCGATATTTTCATCATCAATAGTAGGAATTTTTTGTAATGAATCATATTTTAAATTATTTGGACTTAAATTTGATGAAGTTGTAGAAGATTTATCATCAGTTGAAATAATTTCAAATTCACTACTTTTACTAAAATTACTATCATTATTTAATAATTGTTCAATATGAGAATTTGGGATTGGAGCGGTAGTATTAGTCGAGAATGGTTTTCCAGGATCTAAAATTGATCTGAAATTAGTTAATTCAGGTGTAGTTAAGACTTTATCATTAGCCGATGCAGCAGCAGGGATAATTGGTGTATGTAATTGTTCATTATGTGATGGGGCAGTTAATGCTGATTCATTATCATTTTCATTATAATTTTCATCATGTTCATTTACATTATCAACTTGTTCTAAAGTACTATTGTTGGTAATATCCTTTAATGATAATGTCTTTTTAGAATCTTTATGAGATAATTGAGCATTATCAATACTTGAATTAGGTAAAATATCATCATTACTAGTTTCTGGAGTTTCATGATTCAGATGGAATTTTGGTGAATTGGTGACTAAAGGAGAGTGTATAGGATCGGTAGGAGTAATATCAGTTAAGTTATCATTACTAGCAGATGCTGATTCTGATTCTAAATCTTTTTCAATAGTTAAAGATGGTGGATCATTTAAAGTTTGTTTTAATTCGTTATATTGATCTTTAACTTCTTCATCATTACTTTGTAATCCAGTAACATTGAAAGAACCTGGCATTCGAGGTAAAGATGGTTGAGAAATTGGTTCTTCTTCTTCTTCTTCTTGTTGTTGTTGTGGTTCTACTGGTTCAATTGACTTTGATGGTGGGGCAACTTGTTGATGAATAACATTTTCAAGGTTGGAAGGTATTATTGAATGACTAGCATGTTCTAGTGGTTCATCAACTAAAGGAGTTTCTAGATTTTCTTTAGCTTGTTGAAAATGATCTTCATCTTCTTCAATATTTTTATCATTGTCTATATCTTGAATTTCATCATTTTGAATTATATTTGAAGAATGTTGATCAGGAAATTTTGCCATTAAATTATGAATGGGAGAACCCAAAGTTAAAGTATCTTCATCTAAGATATTATTATAACTTTTAATACTACTATTACCCTTAGGAGTCTTTAAATCGTCTATGGAATGGCTCTTATTAAGGTGGGTATCTTGTGAACTCATTATATATATATAATACGTGTATGTGGTGGGTGAAATCAGGGGAAATTAACTTGTCATATATGGTTTGTGACAATACAAGTTTGATTTATGGAGAATCTTTAGATTGATTGATTAAGTAAAGGGATTGTAAACAAATGAAATGATGGTGCTGTAAATCAACGTGATGTGCTTTTTCTTTTATGAACTGACACTGATTAGATTTGATCTGAGGTACTGGGAATTAAAGGAATGAATGAATGACTGATTATCTCTGATTTATCTACTTGAAGCTAGAGTTCAAGGAGCAGCAACAATGGCTAGGGGGGGATGATGATTGATGATTGATGATGGTTGATGGTGATGGTTACAATTGTAGATACCAATATGATGTTTATGTTTAAAAATATATTTTATAATTGAATTGATTGATTGTTATGACAATTCTTTTTTTGTCTTTTTTGTTCAAAATTCCAAATTAAAAAAAAAAAAAAAATTATTTATTTAAAAGGGAAAAAAAGGACAAAAAGGACAAAAAGGACAAAAACCACACACACTAAATAAAGTGTAGACAAACAGACAGACAAAAAAAAAGAACAGGTACTAACTACAGTACCACTAAAAATTTGTCTGTGGTGTGTACACCCTTATTACTTAATTAGGGGATTTTTCATTATTGTCGGTTCTACTTAACCCTTTTAGATTTTTTTGTCTGTCTGATATATTTAGAGTAGGGTAATTTACATTAACTAACTATGTTAGGTCTATGTATATATATATTAGCTTTGTTCATCCTCATACTCTGAGTAACTGTTTTAATTGGTTACTGCAGGAGCTAATTAACACACAGTGGACTTACAATTAAGCGGTCGCTACAAAAGTTTACAAAAAGTATAAACGAGGGAGGGATGAAGGGAGGGCCGTGTGTGTAGAAGTCTTGTTTACTTTAACTGTTAAGTACTACAATTCATTTCAATTCAACACATATACGTTTTGTGCAGACAGTTTAAATAATTATTTTATATGTATAAATAAATAAATAAATAAATGGGCGTGTAGATTGGATCAAAATTATTTTGTCTGATCTGTCTGTCTGATCTGTCTCCCTTTTTCTCAACAGATTTTTGAGACCGGCTTTCTCCATTTTTTTGGATTTTGAAAAAGGGGTAACCCGGACACGAGATAATATAATATAATATAATATAATTTTATACTATAAAGTTTTGAAAGATAACAAACTTTTTATTCAATTTATACTATATTTAATAGCTCAATATGGTTAAAATAGTAATAAACAATCAATTACCTTAACAATAACACTTTTTATTTACAATAAGAATGAAATAAAATATTTTTGACAACTTAAATGTCCTCGTCGTTATCTTGTCTGTCTGTCTGTCTGATTTTGGTCTCGATCATATGACAATTCAATCTTTACCTTTTTCTAATCTCTCAAATGGTTATGCAACAATCGAATATAACGTTGATGCCATCATTGTATGGTTAAACTTGCTATAACTATTTGTACCCTTGCCCGTGATTCATATTGAATCCCCCAAAATGGCTAATCCATATATGCAAAAAGCCAATAAAAATTAAGAATAAAAATAACAAACAAACAAACAGAACGCGTCTCTCAAACTTTAAAATATTATTGCAATAATAACTTTATTTATTCATCAATTTATGAAATAATATTCATTGTTTATATCGCTGAAACTTCCCAACTCGGAAAAGGTAAAGGTATGTGGTCTGTATGGTTGATAACTTACTTCTACCTTCGTTTAAAAATCCATGTGAACATATACTTCTCTAGCTGTAACTTACGTGAATCATCGCCTTAATTAGAATTATAAAGCGATTGTGATTATGATTATGATTATCGATGCTCTTATGTTACAACTTAAATCAATAAGGGTCGTAGTTAAATATTCTTCGTTACATTTTGTGAAAGAGGAAATACTTTATAAGTGGCTTAAAAAAAACGTCAATTATAAGATATACCTTCAAATAAATAATATTAACCGCCTGAGGAAACTCATAAATAAATATAATGGGTGCGAAATTTGCCTCATATCTATAGTTGCACTCTGTTTCAACTTTATTATCACATTATACATTAAAAAAGTTTAATACAAATATTACAAACCATTTTCTAGTATTAATTCTATTACTACTTACTATTTCCTTTGACCCTTAACCACAAATCCACCTAAATGTTCATTATAAATGAAATTATTATTAATCAAAAATCGTTCCACCGAAAATTTTAATACACTTTTACCAAAATCACTTGAATGAATCCCTCTACCAGTAATCACATTAAATGTAGATGCATTTTTTCTTTGATTTCTTTGATTTAAATTCTTTCCTTCATTTATAGATTCTTCTAATTCATGATCTAACCAATTATTTAATTCAAATTCAACAATTTGTTTGGCTTGGAAGACATTTAATCGATGTAAATCAATTTCAAATTGATTATTATATGAATCAAAAGTAGGGGTAACTAATCCTCTTAATTTTGGATCTAATGGTCTTCTAACAGGTTGATTTTCACTACTATTATTATTATTTCGAATCGAGGGTGAAATAGGTGTAGCAAGTTCATATTTAAATTGGATATCATGAGTAGAATTTATCAGTCGTTGTTTTCTATTCTTCTTTTCCGCCTTTTTGTCTTCCTTTTGTTTCGATATTAATTCAAGAATTTGTAAAGTTTTCCCAATATCTCCATCAACTAATAATAAAGTTTTCTTTATAAAGTCTCTAGTGAGCCCTCTAACATCAAGATTATCATGAATATCATCAGCCCAATCCTTCAAAGTATCTTTATCCATAACTTCAATCTTAGCAGACGATTCTTGGGGTAACGGTGGAGGAGGTTTTCTTTTTAATGTACTTCCATTCCGTTGAACTCTACCACCTTGAACTCGAGAAACTTCAGACCAACCTTTATCTATTTCAATTTTTGGTGTTGGAGGTCGTTTATAATGTTTAATGATATCTATTAAGGCTTTGATGAAATTCCCATTGTTTTTATGTAAATATCTCGTTACATCAAATTTGGGAATATTTAATAAATCTTCCAATTTAGTTAAATCCAGATTAAAATGACTCCAATCATTCGGACCATTATCTTCTTCTCCATCATCATCATCATCATAAACAATATTTCCATCGTCATCATCATCATGGGGAATTTCTAATAATTTTGCAATTGATGAATCTAAATTATCCTTACATTCTATTAAGACTCGTTCAATGACATTAACATCAAGACTAGGAAACATTTCAATCAAAGTGATAGAATTATTCGAATAATAAAATGATCCGGGACCACCATTAGAAGTAGAATTACTGGATGATCCAAGTGTAGTACTTGAACTATTAGTATTTGGTCTTGGAGGTTGTTTTGGAGGGGTTGGAGATCGACTTTCGTGAAGGGATAAATTTTGAGTTTCACTTTCCACTAATAAATATTCAATCAATCGTTCAATATCATTATTATATTCATTTAATTGAAGTCTTAAATCGATTGGTTTACTATGAGGAAACATTCCTGATAACATGGTAACTGTTTCTTCCACATTTATATTAGGAGTGGTATTAGTAGTAGGAGGGGTTGGGATTGGGGCTGGAGTATGAGGAGTATTACGATTAGGAGTAGCACCTAAAGGTGGAGGACGATAATGAGATGAAAACTGACTTTGTCGACTTTGTGATTGTGATTGTGATAATGATGAAGATGAGGCTGGTGATGGAGTGGCCGTATGAGTTACGGGACTATGATTTGGAGTTGGAATTGTTTGTTCATTATGACCTGCTACTTCTCGATAAGGGGGAGGTGGAGTTGAAGATTGAGATTCTTCCATTGAATTATATTAAAAGTCTATAAAATGGATATGTATAATTATTAACCATTGATCTTGTGTACACCTATTTAAATATATATATGTATTTCGATTTTTTTGATCTCCCTCTATATTTAATAATATAGCCCCTACCACCACTCACTCACTCTAATTTCTATAATTAGACAGAAGTTGAGGATGATGATCTACGTGCATTTACCAAAGTTTTAAAACAACTTAACCAATTTAATAAATCATTTTCATATTTGATTCTGAATAAGTAATGATTATTTGAAGTTATAATTAATAATTTAAATATTCTTTCAAGATCAGATGATGATTGATGATGATGATGATGAGTAGTTTTTGGTTCAAGTTCAAGAACTTCAAGGATATCATTAAGATTTAATTTTAAGAGTAAATTTAAATGATTTAATTTATAAATGTAAGCGAATTTATTGGTAAGGATGATTTTTACTTTCTTCCATTTTAATAAGTTTAATCTATGATGATGATGATGATATTGATTAGATAATTTTAAATCTCCAGTTTGTACAAGATATTCATCATTATTATCATCATCATTTGTATGATGTTTTTGGTTTGATAATTGTTGTAATTTATCATTGGCGGTTAATTCTGAACTATGATGGGATTGAAAGGGGAGATCTTCATTTGAAGAATCATCAGGAGTATCACCTCCAGCATGATTATGATTATTATGATTATGATTATGATTATTTAAATTATCTTCAGATATATATTCAATAGGAAAATTATAAGATTGATCATGATCAAATAATATCTTTAAATTCTTAATCCAATCATTATATTCCGATTTATCCTTAGCTTTAAAATGTAAGATTTTATCATTTGTATAAATTAAAAATTGATATAACTCAGAACTAGTTTCATCATTCTGATACTTTAAGATTGATATAAATTTAATAAATTTTATATTATAAACTCTTTTTGGTTTATGTTCTGATGAATCATTATAATAATTTAATTGTAGTTTTCTTAATACAACCCAATATCGTTTCCATTGATTTGATTTTAATGATTTTTTATAAAGATAGGATGAGATTAATAATTTATTAATATCGATTGAATTTGATCTTGATTTAATCATATTAGTTGTGGTGGAGCCACTCGTGGTGCTAGTACCAGTACCAGTGATACTGGCATTAGTAGTAGTTACGCTCATATGAAAGTTCTGTAATGGTATAGAGAAGAAGAAGAAGATAAATAAATAATTATAATTACAATAAAGAATAGTAATTTACAATATAATTTTACTATAGTGTGTAGTGTTCATATCGTATAAAGTTTAAAAATGATGATGGATGATGATGATTCGATTTTCTGATTTTAATTAATGATCGATTTGATGAAAAAGATTTCCGTCTCCTTTTTCTTTTCTTTTTCTTTTTTGGCGGGGCACAATCAATTCCCATTACTTTATTTATAGTATGATTATTATTAGAAGTATTATTATTATAGAATATAGAAGGCTGAATACATATATAATGACATGACATAGGCACAGTCAGAGCAATTATGTATACTGAAATATATAAAGCAACCCATAATAAAACAATAAAAGGCTGTACATGAAAGGGTCTAGAATCTTCTATAAAAGAAGAGATCATTCATCTCAGTCTCTGCCCTCTTCGCATAAGGTTTTGAGTAATTTTTGCAGCAATGATTTAAATTAATGACTAATTTATTTATGATTTTCTATTTATAGATCATATCCTTCCATTTAACAGTGTAACTAGTTTAAACATATCGATTATACTAATCAAGTAAAATTAATACTATATGGTAAACCAGAAATTGTACTGCGGCATGGATTCATGCTTAATGGTAATATGTAATTACATGCAAATTAAAATGAATACGTATACCATTAGTATAACTAATAAACCCATTATGAATGATATCATTAATTAATAATGAGATAATGAGTTCTTTTATTGAATCACTTCATTGTAATAATAACTCAACTAGTAGATCTCGATATATTGCCGATAATTAAGTAGTAAAAATTAACTAGAGAGTAAGAGGTATTTATACAAAAGCAGAAATTAGATAGATTGCCAGTTATCCGTTTAGTCGATAATTAATTACATTCAACTATAACTCAATATATATAGTTAATTTACCGTGTAAAATATCGTACTACTATTAATATTTAATTAACTAATTACTGATTCGCCCTGTCTCTCTGTCTCTCTTTTAATTACCGTTTTTGTGGATAGAAGCCGAAAAAAGAAATATAGAGGTGAATCACACACAAACTGTAAATTTCTTGTCCTTTAAATTAAATCAGAACTCAAACTCAAAATCAAAACCATCTCTTCCTAAGCATCTTCATCTGTTTTGCTTGTCTGTCTTCTTCTTCTTCTTAAAAAGATTTACAAACCATTCATCTGTTTCTAATATAATTAATATACAACTGGTTGTATATCCTATATTTTTGAACCTACTATCACCAAACTACTAATCTATTTATTTATTTCCCCATCGTTTTCATATCATATCATATCACTTCAATTTCAGCCTTATCTATTCAATTTTCTTTTTTACTTTATGACACATACGATAAATGTCAAAGCTTCATAGAAAATCATTGGATAATAATCTTGCCAAAGCAACTCTTTTACATCATCGACAATCAGAACCTTTTGCTGTTAGAAGTGATTCTGATTTGATCACTCATCCAGCTCCGTTAACTCATTATAAAACTTCATCACTAGTAGATGATGACCATCAAAAACGTCAGAATGAAGATCATTCAATGCCCACTGAATATAATGATTTATTGGATTACTTCAAACAAAAACAATCGGATAATTATCGTTATATAAAATTCATTATACCTGATGAAAATGCTACTGATAAAAATTATAAAAAACAAGTTTCATTCGATACCATCAATCTTGAATGTGATGATGATAATGAAGTTCAATGGGATGATGCCTTTGGTTGGGATTTACTTCGAATTAAAGAAGGCTCCATATCAGGTGGTCTGTCTGACCGTGAAAGAGGTAGAGATCGTAATTTAAGTCCTGGTGGTGGAGGTGGAGGTGGAGGTGGAGGTGGAAGATCTCCTTTGGCTTCACCAGTTAGAGGTTATTCTAATAATGATTATTTCACTTCAGGTTATTCATTCTCAACAGGTGGAACTGGAACAGGCTCACCAAATTTACTTATCCCTGGAAATTTACCTCCTGAATTTGAAAATTTAATTGACACTTCTATGTTACAAAATTTACCTAAACGTCCTGAATATCCTACATCACCAATATTAACTCATAGAGGTTGTACATTAAGTAAGAAGCATAAACATTTTGAAAAATTATATAAAAATGCTTTAATTTCATCATCCACTAAACAAAAATTAAAACCAGTATTGCCCCATAGATCAATATTAATTTATTTAAGTGGTAGAAAACATACATGGGTAGCATTAGATTGGATTTTAAATAACTTTTTAGAAAATGGGGATTCAATCATTATTTGTTGTTCTATAAATTCTTCATCAATCTTACATCATAAAAAACGTAAAAATAGTTTTTATTCACCTCATGGATTTTTACCTCCTACCACTCCAAAACTGAGATTTCTTCATCGTAATAAACCTGAAATGGTTCCTGTCATATGTCAAAACTTAATGGATTATATTGAAACTATATTAAATCCTAATAAAATCATTAAAATCACAATTGAATTCTTAGTGGGACCTACAAAATTAGTTTTAAAGGAAATGTATAAATTATATGAACCAAATTTAGTATGCACAGGTACAAAACCAAATTTAAGAATAAGTGCTCCATTAAGAAGTTGGAATTCATCAAAATTAACTGACAGATTAGTTAAAAATTTCCCCCTTCCTGTCATTGTGGTTCCAGCCGTTAATATGAATAAATTTGAATATAATTTAGAAAATAAATTTAAATCAAGTTTAGAAAGAGTTAAACTGGCAAATATTATAGCAAGTGAATCAAATTCATCAAGTAATAATGATGCTACAAGTAGTTCTATGACTACTGATGTTTCATTAGATGAGAAATTAAGTCTTGATGACGATGATGATGATGATGATGATGAACAAACTGAAGGTGACATAAGTAATAAAGATAACGCAGATGAAGAAGAAAATGCTGATGATGAAAGTTCAATTGAAGATTCGATTGAAGAGTTTGATGGTGATGATAAATCCATCACCTCTGAAAATAGTGATGCATCAGATGAATCATATTCATCATTTGAAGAAATCTCTAAACTTTATTATGATTATAAGAAAGATTTAGCTACTGGTATTTCGACTACTTCCAAAAATCGTAAATCTCCTTCATCAGCCACATCAACTCCTCCTCCTACAGCATTCGATTATCATGAGTTTATCAATGATATTAAATTAATTTCGGATAAATCAATGGATTTATGTAATGAAATTAGATCATTAGCTCCTGATTATCAAGGAAATGGATCAAAATTAGCCAGAGCCATTACAGGATCGAATCTTTTTGATGTGGTTCCATATAAGACAAAATCAATGTTAGCTCCTTTAGAACCAAAACTGACAAGTTTAAGTTATAAAGAAATGAAAAGGACTTTACAATTAAATGCTGCCAATGCTAAAAAGGAAAAAGAAAGACAAGATAAAGAAGAAACTGAGACAAATGTACATGTTCCAATTATAAATATAAATGATGTTTCACCAAATATATCACCAACACATTCACCTTCACCCCCACCATTAAATTCATCATTAACATTTGATCTAGTAACTGGTTCAAAACCATTCTCAAAGAAAATATCTTCACCCACAAGGAAAATGTTACAAAAATCATTATCTCATGATATCGGTACGGACAATAGACCAGAATTACAACCATTGAAATCACATCCTGATTTGAAATCATTCATGAATAAGACTAATAATGATGCTATTGCATCAAATGATTCATCTTTGACTTCGTTGTCGCAGTATGAAGGCAATGGAACTATTAAGAAGAAAAAGAAGAAATTTTGGAAAATGTTTACTTAGTGTATATCGTATGCATGATTTGCTAGAAAAATATATTATATATTCATCATCATTGATTGTAATTTGTAGTTGTAAATGTAGTCTTATTTTGCAATTTGTGGTGTTGCTCAAAATGGATCAGGGAGAGTCAGAAAAAATCATGGTGAAATATCAAAAGATGGTTAAATTTAGAAACATAAATCAATCCATCAGCAACGTACAATTAAGAAGAGGAATATATAGATAGAATGAAGTTAGTGGGTATACTACTAAGTCTCATTTACTGGTTCAATCTAGTCCATGCATTCAAACCATATAAACAGAATAAAGATCATGATGTGATATTCTTTGATAAGAAAGATTTATTCATTAATGACTTTCAAAATCATGAGAAAACCACCGTGAATGGTCCAACTGTGGCCTTAACTGAAATGCATTCGGTTGCCAATGTCATTCAACCAAATCAAGTTCAATTCTATACTTTCACACTTGATACTAGTATCCCACCTATCCCATCTATTGGAGCTTATTTTGTGTATATATCAGGAAATATTTGTGTTGGACCTCAAGATTCCTTTGATAGTTTGACTGTTACAGTATCATTAAATTCAAGTCTATTAAGTCAAGAAATTGATTCAACTACAGGCATAACTGATTTTATAGGAGGTTATTTTTATTATTTCGTTGATATTACAGCAGAAGATATTCAAACTAATGATTTAACTGTTTATATTGGAGTTACAGCTCCTGAGAATAATAATCAAACATTAACTTGGAATTATGAAATTGCAGCATCTCAACAAAATTCAGTTTATCAATATGATGTTGATACATTTGTAACAGTTGTTGATAGTGATGATGATTCTACTTTGATTGTAACTAATAATTTAACTTATGCATCTGGATTTAATGTTTCCAATGCAGATCCTAATGATGCATATAGCTTATACATTTATGAATATTCTATGTTGGATTATTTTCAAAATATGACAAGAAGTTGGTGTTCGATTAGAAATGGTCCATATTTAACCAATATAACGATTCAAAGTGATTTTATATCCCATTATAGTGATGGTACTTTACAACAACAGTTTTATATCAGTGGATTGACGAAAGGTACCCAATATGTCGGCTATTTAACTTATGATTTCGGTCAAGTTAATAGTACTGGTGGTAGTAATTCAGGAGGGATTATTTATGAACAATTTCAATTCGAAACTTTATCAACTCAAGCTTGTGAAATCATCTTTGGTTTGAGTTTTTGTGATAAAGTCGCATACGCTGTACCTCAATCAAGTAGTAATAGTTCAAGAGAATTATTAATGGCAACTTATGATAATTATACGGAAGATTTATTTCAAAACTTCACTTATGCATTACAACAAATCCCTTGTGATACGATTGAAAATGCCATATTCTCACCTATAACATCCTGTGCGAATTGTTCATCAAGTTATAAAGATTGGTTATGTTCAGTAACCATCCCTCGATGTTCAAGTCGAAATATTACGGGATATAAATATCGTGATATAGGCCAATCACGTAATGATCTCCTTAATAATGTGATTCAACCCCAAGAACCTTATTTCGAAGTATTACCCTGTATCGATGTTTGTCAAAGTATGGTAAGGAATTGTCCTGTTGATTTTGGATTTCAGTGTCCCATTACTAATGCTTCTATTGCATTATCGTATTATTGGACAGTTCCAAATTCTGAATATCCAACTTGTAATTATATGGGTGATGTAGTAGAAATAGAAAATAGTTCATCGTTGAAGCTGGTCAACTTGACATTCCTAATGGTTATAAATATGATATTAATGGTGTGGTTAATCTAGGTAAGTAGTGTATACCATTTAATATATATATACTAATATTTGTTTATATACTGCGGTATGGATGGTTCTATAATTCTGTCTGTTTCAGTTTTTATGTAACGCGTCTACAAATTTTAAATTTATCACCAAAGAGTCTAGATCAGATCAAAGGATCAAGAATTAAGTAGCAACTGAAAGGTTTCCATCAATTGCAATGACTGATAAGAGGAAGGATAACTTACCATGGTATGTATAACAATTGTATTTTCCAAATGATATCCTGATCAATGGATTGTTTGGATAGTTATTTGACATGAAGTACTAACTCATAAATAGGGTTGAAAAGTATAGACCTGATTCATTGGATGAAGTGTTTGGTCAGCAAGATATTGTTGATACCGTTAAGAAATTCGTCCATGAAGGTAGATTACCTCATTTATTATTCTATGGTCCACCAGGGACAGGTAAAACGTCTACTATAATAGCATTGGCCAAAGAAATTTATGGAAGTAATTATCGAAATATGGTATTAGAATTAAATGCCTCTGATGATAGAGGGATTGACGTGGTTCGTAATCAAATTAAGAATTTTGCTTCTACTCAACAAATATTCAGTAGAGGGTTTAAATTAATTATATTGGATGAAGCTGATGCTATGACTGCTGTAGCTCAAAATTCGTTAAGAAGAATTATTGAAAAATATACTAAGAATACAAGATTTTGTATCTTAGCTAACTATTCACATAAATTGAATCCAGCTCTTTTATCAAGATGTACCAGATTTAGGTTTAACCCAATTAGTGAAAAGGCTATTCGAGAAAGAATGTCAAATGTGATCATCAAAGAGAATTTAAAAATTTCACCAGTAGCTGAATCAGCATTATTAAAGTTGAGTAAAGGAGATATGAGAAGAGCATTAAATGTATTACAAGCTTGTAAAGCTGCTACATCTGATGATGAAGAGATTAATGAAGATATGATCTATGAATGTGTAGGAGCACCTCATCCACAAGATATTGAAACTGTCTTGGATTCAATTTTAAAAGATGATTGGACTACCGCATATCAAACGATTAATAAATATAAACAAGTTAAAGGGTTAGCATTGATAGATTTAATTAGTGGATTCATTGAAATATTAAATCGATATCAATTGAAAGCTACTACTAGAATTGAAATATATAAAGGTTTAAGTGATATTGAATATGGTATTTCAAAAGGTGGCAATGAAAAAATTCAAAGTAGTGCCGTTATTGGAGTAATTAAAGATGCTTTAGAATGTGAAGCAAAGTAATAGAGAATTCGTTTACATTATCAAAAAAAGAATATATTTTCACATAAACTTGTATATTATAATAAATACGTAATAAGAATAACTTAGATTAAACTAGACTACTGTAAAATGTTAGTATACCTTGAAATTATTGGGTTATCAACATTCACACAAACAATGTATCCAAAAACACACTTATTAATCATCTATCTTAACGATTCTTCTCATGAAACAAAAATTATCGAAGAGCTGGGTTTATATTAAATTTAGAGCCTCCAGGGCTCATTATAATCATCTTAATACGATGTTTTTGAAATAACTGTCACTCAAGTGTAAAATTATGTTCACGTCACATGATGGAATACATACTCATTCTATTACGTACATTCGTAACATACGTCTATGGTAGTTTAGGTTGATAATGAAAGTTTTAATTGTTAAATTATGAATCTGAAAATTTTTTTTCATTTCAGTTCAGTTTTTGATGAAGTCGCTCGAACTTTTTTTGTGTCACCAAAAATAAACGTTAGAATAATTTATTGTTAGGGTTAAGATTAGAGATTAATATGGAGAAATGTCAAAGTTCGGTTAAGATAGATTGTAGTTGTGTTATGGCCGAGTTTCAAGATATCGGAGTTGATAACTGTATTCTAATGTTTAACCGTTATGTTGTTTGTTAATATTATGTAATAATTTAAAATCTTAAATTTAGTTAATTTCATTCAAAATTGTTGCTAAATTAATGGTTTCTGCAAGATAACAAATGGGCTGCAACCAGCTCCAACTCATACAACCAGTACATGTTACAGGTCAAATGAAATGAAACAAAAGGCAGGCAAACCAGAAACCAAGACTACGTAGAACAAAGATTAAAACAAAACAAAAATGAAATGAAATTGATCTACGTTTAACGAAGTCAAACCCCTGACGTATTGGTAATATACCAAGCTTGTACGACGATGCAGAGAAGGAATTCAGTAAATCATAACGTACATGAAGCGAAAGTCATATATATTATTTCAATTCACCATAATCAAATATGAAATGGAATTAGTTAATATATGAAAAAGCGCAAATTGTATAGTAAAAGTAGTATAAGCCATTATAATACAATGTTAAAGAATTTTCGCCTCCACAAAAATTGAGGTTTTGTGAAACGGTAAGGAGCTGCCAAAATTAAAAAACCAATTATGGTTAACTGTAAAAGTAAAATTTAAAAGTAAAATGTATAACCTGGATAAAAGGATATATCGATCCTTTTACCGAGTTGGCAAAATACAGTTTGACCGATAAAAAACTCCGTGACCATGTAATTAAAAGTATCTGATCCCATCGCTCAAGAGAAGCGGCTATCAGCGGTATCTCATACATAATTGAAACAGCGTATCTTGAAAGTTAAGAGATAATAATCAACGAGTTAAAGTCAGTCAAAGCAACGGGTGATAATCGTTGTAAGTTACCCAAAGCGATCTATCAATATGATTCTCGATTCAATTGATAATCAATATAAGGTAGATAACGATGATGGGCATATAAGCAAATTTGTTTTCTTAGAATTTTCTATGTGCATTATACTTACCACATATGAGGCAGGGTAGAAACATATAAAATGATAGACACGGTGAAGGCTGTATAGCTAACAAACGGAATTAATAATAGAACAAATTTCGAGATTCATTTTAGCCTCCTTATGACAGTTACAAGTAAAAAAGTAAAAGCAAAAGCAAAAAAAAAAAATATATATATGCATATATCAAATTTGAATATCATTCAATTTTTTTTGAATGTGACGTAATTACATCCAAAATTCGTATCAATTTGAATTTTTATCTGCTAACAACATACCGTTATCCTTCTTGCATTTGACTTGTTTCTTTTTTTATTAATGTAATATTTAGCTTAAATTGACGCTGGTGATGCAGCATGGGGATTAAGCAGAACCTAGTGATAAATGAATATGAATTGTGCAGCGTCATAGTCATTGCTTATTATAAATTATGGAGTAAAATGTATCAATGAATTGCGCTACAAAAACCCATACATACTCGGACTTGATATTATTCTTGTATACTACTCCTTCTATAATTCAAAATAAAATTCGATAATAGTTATGTATGAACTCGCCTTAAACTAGTGATTGGGAGTCCCATCTTCGATATCCGAGTTATTTATCCATGGCAATAACCTTAATAAATTGTTGGTGCTTAAAATATATTTGTGCCGATATGTATCATATGTATATCGACTCGAATTACTAAACAATTGTGCCAATTATAGAAAGGGGGTCACAAATCATCCATATAACAAATAAACAGGATTTGAATTAATACTTGGAAAAAAAGACCCATTGAATTGATATGATAACGGGAATTTATCGAGCAATACACATAAATGGATAAGTAACAACAGGTATGATATGTTCCGTGATTTCGTAATAAATTGCAGTCAGTCGAATTGATGTAATATTTCTTAGCGATATTTTGATTATCAATTATTTGGGTTCGGTATTTTACAAATTATCAAAATTAATGTGTATAAGGGGGTAAAACGGAAGTATGTCAAATGTAAAGAAATCGGACAAAATACACGACGGTTTTTTTTTGGTTTTTTTTGGTTTTTTATAATTTCTTTTTTTTTCCTAAATTTTAAAATTTAACTTTTCTTTTTTTTTTTAAAGTTTCTTTTTTTTTTATATATTTATTTTATTTTTAGTATCGAACTAAAAAATTTAAAATTGCTTAACCCCCTAACTCAAATTTCTGTTTTTACTATTACAAAATCTTTTTTAAACACAACTTTTACCGTGAATATCTTTACATACTTACGAATATTTATGCTTGAATTAAATAAACTATCTATCAAAATCACAAAGTCAAGCTATTTTTTAACAAAATTGTTTTTCATCGTAATGGTAGAATAGCAAGACTAACCATGTTGAATGAAACGTCAAAGAGGATCAAAAGCAGTACATCAGAAGGTGGTCTACTAAATGATATATATTCCTATGTTTTTGTAATTCGTATTTTGACGGTTGAACTTACTTTGAACACCCGCTGCAAATCACGTGAAAGTTATTTCTGGGTTTGTGGAGGTTATCAAAGCGCAGTGAACAATTAGTCAATGCTGTTCTTATAACCATTGCATTCTTCCGAATTTCCCAATTAGGCAAGTAGGAGAGGCATTATGTGTTTATTAATAATAGTTGTTTTAAATGTGCCCTATCTAATTCTATTGCATGAATGAAAATAGGTATAAAAACCATATGGTTTAGAGCCGCTGTGTCAAAAATACATATTGCTGCTGGTACTAGTAAACATTGTTTGATTGTTCTAACTTTAAGGTATCACCAGTTATCCATCAATTAGTAAAGCCTTTTCTCTAACTTAATTTCTGAGTAAATGTACTTAACTCCCGAGGAGAATCCATAACTTTTTGGGTGAGAATTTGGGATAATAAAGGGCCTTTGTAATGGAAGTTGAGAACAATCAAATGGAAAAGAAAAGATCAGCGAGTAAATCTCAAAACTTAAAAAAAAATAAAAAAAAATAAAATAAAAGATAAAAGATGTGTGTGTTGAAAAAAGAAATTTGAATTCAGACCAAATTTATAATCGTCAAAAAACTTCTTTTCTATACGCTTGCCTGCACAGAGACAGATGGAATTATAAATCTTATATATTAAAGTAAGAAACTTACTAATCGTTATACGATACCAAGTAAGCTTTTTAGTCTCCTATTTGTTCCTTTGCTTTATAAAGTTGACAGGAAACTGAAACTAAAAAAAAAAGAAAGCGAGACTGCCGTTCATAATGGTTTAACTTAAAAGGCTTTTTCTGGTAACTAGTTGGGAGGTGCTCGTAACTGTAATAGAATAAAAAATTGAATAGATAATATAATTATTATTATAATCCAATGCAAAAAATAATTTATTTAATATGGTACAAAACTGAATAGAGAACAATTATCAAAAAAAAAAAAAAAACTTACAGCAGAAAAGAACAAACAATGAATATTTTAGAGTGAAAAAAAGGGGTATAATTTACTAGTGGAGATAAATGCCCACTAAATTTCATCTATATGTGCGGTACGTCAATTAAAATATCAAAGAAAGAATCGTTCTCTGTATCTTTATCTTTATCTCCATCTTATTATTTCGAGAAATATCTACTAAGCATTAGGTTGGATAATGAAATTCGAATTTCATTAATCTTCATTACTTATCTCTTACTTTCATTGTTCGTTCGTCTATCTCTATTACACTGACGATAGAAAAGCACAAGTACAAGCAAGTCAAGTTGTCAATTGATTTGTTCTTAGTGTACTAAACTAATGCTGGTCACACATACATATAGAATAGGTTATTGCTTTTGCCAATTGTTCATTTACATGTGTGCGTTAAGGTTTCGTCACTTGCTTTCTTCTTTATTTCGTTTCATGAATTTCGTTTGTCAAATTTTAGTTGACGATAGATGAGTGGGGGGGTACCAGGATTAATTAGTTACAGGTACTTAGTCGACGTAACTTATCTCCAGTTGGCATTATTTCATAGTGCCTCATAAATAGCCGCTAATTCATGATCGTAATCATGACCGTAATCGTAAATAATTGCAATTAAATCAAATTATCAACCGCCTTAACCTGTCTCTGATATGTTTCACCGCCACTTATCTGGAACATAACGTAAAACACCAACTGTATCAATCTGTAGGAGGACTTTGATGACTTGAGATTTCATCTAGCGCTTATATTATTTTTTAATCAAAAATTTGATTTATTTTCTCATTTATATCTTTACTGTATTCTTTTCAATCAAAATACTATATATATAATATTATATATTAATTTATTTTATATGTGTGAATTACAATATCTAAATATTTTTATGCTGTGAATGCTTCTTAATTATTTTTTATCTCAGTTTTTTTTTTTGATATTTTGAATTTTTGTTTGATTGTTCGTAATTTATAGTTCCTCTAAGTGCATATTTCCAGTTCCTAGATTGTAGATTTTTATATCTAAAAT